ATCCGCATAAGAAATCGTACAACTAGCACTATTTAATTATTCAAATCATTAGAGCACATTGAAAATAAAATTACCTCTCTTATGAGAGAATTTAAATTTTTTTAGAGTGTGGTCATTCACGTATGACCCTCTCCAGACCCCGCAAACGAACAACTCAACAATGGCCGCTCGCTGCCGGATTGCACAGAGGGATTAACGATCGGGTTCTGAAACAGGAAATCAATATGAACAACAGCGAGTTGCCAGATACAAAAATGACCACGCGTCTCTTCAGTAAATCGACTGTAGTATACTGCTTATTGTTTAAATTAATACAGTTTTAAACACTGCAGTCCGAATTAATCCGCAGTTTCCCGTCTAAATTATCCGCGAAATATATATACTGCTCAACGTACATATATAATATTATAATAACATGTAAGCAGAAGCATTTCTAATTCTTATTTAGGGACTATTTCGTTTGCATAGCCTTTCGTCTGTAGAAATGAAATGAAAAATGAAGGACAGTAAAACGATTTTTAGAATAGATCTAGTTATGACAGTTTATTCAGCAGTCATTTTAGAAGGGCACTGAACAAATTTTGCCATAGGCAGCGGCTGATAGGTGGCGGAATTTATGCTGTGTATGTCTATGTGCTCTGGTAACCACTTAACACCAGGTGGCCCTGAGTTCGACCAACCGTTTAAGCAATAAAAAAGACTGATTCCACGGACTGCCAGATTTATTGTATGGTCATCTACCAACGATGCATTAAGAAATTAAATTGCCGAACCCACCATTTTCATTAAAATTTTCGAGGTCATGACGGGGCGTATGCAAGTTTTGTAGAGTGTCACCTTATTTCTAAGGAACATTTTACTTCGCCTGCATATCATCGGGTAGAGACGTCCTAGAATGAAGGCGGCACGGTCGCGTACCGTCTTTATATGAGGGCGGAATGTCATCTTACTGTCGAGGGTGACGCCTAAATATTTGACCTTCGGGGCCCACGGTATGGGCTGGTCGAACATCGTGATTGGGCGAATGGCGGAGGCGGAGGTGTCGACGCGCCTAGTCGGGAGAGGGATGCTCAGCGTGGTGTTCGGAGGGCGACCCCTTTTGAAGAGCACCGCTGTGCTTTTCGTGGGGTTGATGTCGATGCGCCACTTCCGGAACCACTGTCCCATGGTGGTAGCTGCGGTCTGAAGTCGTCGATNCCACGGTATGGGCTGGTCGAACATCGTGATTGGGCGAATGGCGGAGGCGGAGGTGTCGACGCGCCTAGTCGGGAGAGGGATGCTCAGCGTGGTGTTCGGAGGGCGACCCCTTTTGAAGAGCACCGCTGTGCTTTTCGTGGGGTTGATGTCGATGCGCCACTTCCGGAACCACTGTCCCATGGTGGTAGCTGCGGTCTGAAGTCGTCGATAAAGCAACGCCTTCTTCCTACACGAGTAGTAGATGGCGGTGTCATCGGCGAAGAGCGCCAGATGGGTCTCCGGAGACCGGGGTATATCATTGATATACAAACTGAATAGTAACGGGGAGAGGGCGGAGCCTTGCGGGACTCCGGCTGTGACGTGCCAAGTAATTTAATGTAATTGGAAAACGGCCATATTAATTTATATTTTATCTATGACTGACGAAATACTAAATAAACAAAATAAAACAAATCACAAAACTTCACTCCTCAAGTTCCCGCCAAAAAGTCCGAAATTTATTTGAGATTTCATACTTCAGTGTTTGAAGCACTCATACGGTGAGTAGTGTTGTTCGAGCCCATTAATGTCTCGAAATCATCAATGCTTACAATTCGAAATATCGAAGTATCGAGTTAGTTGAATATATAACGCATACTTTTAGTGATTAATAGTGTCTTTGAAGAAAATAAAAATTGTTAAATAGATTGATTTGATGAAAACAGTACAATTATCTTTATGACGTCGACGCGAGAAATGAAATTAGGTCAAAATTATTTTTGTTGTAATCAGCTGTCCCAACCTTCATGCCGAAACCCATGGCTACTTGAAGCAGAAATGAGCAGGATGGTAATATCTATCCATGTGACTAAACTTAAGCACTACCGGCAGTGATTACGTTACATTCAAATTTTTACAACTATAGTAGAATTATTTTGTCCGTGCAGTTTGGGTCATAAAACATAGCCCGGCTAGGGCGGTGAGCATGTTGCGCGAGCGCAACGCCATTATCGATAAAAACAAATGAGTCATCGAAGGCAGGTACACGGCGGCGAGGTGGTATACGAAGGGTGGTCAGACATTGTTATGTTATGAGCCATTTGTTGTACCTACCTGCAAATTATAGAACATATGTCGAAGAAAAATGTGATTTTGTGCATTCGCTCTCTGAATTACTTTAGTGACACAATGGCTACTCCTTTAATATACCACAACAAGCACGTGTTAAATATACCAGCACAAGCACGTGCTATTATCAACAATGTTTTAAAAATTTTCACTGAAATGAGAATAGATCCCGAAAAGTTACAAAGTGTTAATTTCTGCCGTTCTCGTTAACTTGCTGCGGCGATATGTGGTGTAAGTGTTCGATTAATGATTTTTCCTTTCATTTTTATCACTAACCCACAAAATGACAAAACTAAAAACACTATCGATAACGCTTATCGACAACAATAATGCACATCACTATGCCCGTCCATAAGGCTCGTGAGTGGAACAGAGAGCGAAATACTCGTTTCACCGCTCTGATTTTTTATGACCCAAACTGCACGGACAAAATAATTCTACTATAGTGCCCATTTTTACCACAAAGCAGCAGTGCTAACAGCTGGCCGAGCGCCTCCAAAGGAGACCTAACAACTCAAGGGTAGCTGCTTTGCGAATGAATCTCGGATCGGAATCGCGACCCGCTGAGAAGATCCGGCGAAAAACTGAGCAGGCTGATGCATGACTAGCGCAGTAATACGTTCCAGTTCGAAGGAGAGCCGTTAAACTATACCATATTGAAGTCATAAGCAGCGAGCTTACTAACAATACGCAAAAAATATCAGCTTTAATGTTTATTAAACAATGAAATTCCCCATCACCACATAGGACCATCGCAGCAGTAAAATTGAACACATGTTAAGTACGTATTTGGAAAATATTTTATATTATTTTATTGGAAAATTTTATATTTGCCAGCAGGACTGGAGCATTGTCATAGATCCGCTAGCGTCATATATAAAATATAAATTAATATGGCCGTTTTCCAATTACAGCACAAGAGCGCATTATGCGGCATAACGCTCAACTAAGCTTCAGCATAATTTGGCATTGTGCGTCACTGAGTCGCATTATGCTCTGTAATTAACCATTACTTAATGGTAGGAATAAAGGCGGATGGAACGTATTACTGCGCTAGTCATGCATCAGCCTGCTCAGTTTTTCACCGGATCTTCTCAGCGGGTCACGATTCCAATCCGAGATTCATTCGCGAAGCAACTACCCTTGAGTTGTTAGGTCTCCTTTGGAGGCGCTCGGCCAGCTGTTAGCACTGCTGCGTTGTGGTAAAAATGGGCACTATAGTAGAATTATTTTGTCCGTGCAGTTTGGGTCATAAAAAATCAGAGCGGTGAAGCGAGTATTTCGCTCTCTGTTCCACTCACGAGCCTTATGGACGGGCATAGTGATGTGCATTATTGTTGTCGATAAGCGTTATCGATAGTGTTTTTAGTTTTGTCATTTTGTGGGTTAGTGATAAAAATGAAAGTAAAAATCATTAATCGAATACTTACACCACATACCGCCGCAGCAAGTTAACGAGAACGGCAGAAATTAACACTTTGTAACTTTTCGAGATCTACCTATTCTCATTTCAGTGAAATTTTTTAACACATTGTTGATAATAGCACGTGCTTGTGCTGGTATATTAAAGGACTAGCCATTGTGTCACTAAAGTAATTCAGAGAGCGAATGCACAAAATCACACTTCTTTTCGACATATGTACTATAATTTGCAGGTAGGTACAACAAATGGCTCATAACATAACAATGTCTGACCACCCTTCGTATACCACCCCGCCGCCGTGTACCTGCCTTTGATGACTCATTTGTATTTATCGATAATGGCATTGCGCTCGCGCAACATGCTCACCGCCCTAGCCGGGCTATGTTTTATGACCTAAACTGCACGGACAAAATAATTCTACTATAGTTGTAAAAATTTGAATGTAACGTAATCACTGCCGGTAGTGCTTAAGTTTAGTCACATTGATAGATATTACTATCGTGCTCATTTCTGCTTCAAGTAGCCATGAGTTTCGGCATGAAGGTTGGGACAGCTGATTACAACAAAAATAATTTTGACCTAATTTCATTTCTCGCGTCGACGTCATAAATGAATGTACTGTTTTCATCAAATCAATCTATTTAACAATTGTTATTTTCTTCAAAGACATTATTAATCACTAAAAGTATGCGTTATATATTCAACTAACTCGATACTTCGATATTTCGAATTGTAAGCATCGATGATTTCGAGACATTAATGGGCTCGAACAATACTACACACCGTATGAGTGCTTCAAACACTGAAGTATGAAACCTCAAATAAATTTCGGACTTTTTGGCGGGAACTTGAGGAGTGAAGTTGTGTGATTTGTTTTATTTTGTTTATTTAGTATTTCTTCAGGTTTAAATATGTAATACTAATAACGGTGGTTTATAAACTGTTTACTATCTGCACAAATGTCGGAAAATGAAACAAAGCCGCTGAACGTAACTTCTCGGATCCTCCAAAAAGTCCACTGAAAAAGTCTCAGTAAATGACCACCACATCTCATCTCATCTCGTCTCGTCTCGTCACGTCTCATTTCATTTTAATCAACTTCATTTCATTTCACTTTATATTATATATATCATTTTTCATACATACATTTTTTTCATTACATACATAAAAAAGTTATAGTGCACTATTCATCAAAATTAAAATAAGACTTGACCTAAAGGTCTTAGTTACCAGGTCATAAAATCCCTTTAAAAAAGTCAAATACATACATTGATGAAATTTTAAATTCATTTTATGAAAGGATTATTTTAAATTAACATAATTCAGAGTAGGTAGCAAATTAAACATTAACATCATACCATTACATAACCTATGGATTATTTGCACTAATTTGCAGATGAAACAACGTGTACTGTAATTTGATAAACTACCTACCTTCAATTGTTGACCATGTCAAATTGACCAATGAAAAATAAACTTTATGCGATATGGAGCAAATTCAACTTAATCTTGGAGATACTACAACCGACAATTTGTATCCAGCCCTATTTCAGTGTTTTACAATTATCATTTGCGGGTAAGTTCACAAGTGGACCGTAAACAAATGAAAGTTGAAAAGGTTAAATCAGGATATTGATTTAAAACATTAGTACTCAACTCTCCTTACAATATAAAAATAAAAGGCANCATTATGCGATATGGAGCAAATTCAACTTAATCTTGGAGATACTACAACCGACAATTTGTATCCAGCCCTATTTCAGTGTTTTACAATTATCATTTGCGGGTAAGTTCACAAGTGGACCGTAAACAAATGAAAGTTGAAAAGGTTAAATCAGGATATTGATTTAAAACATTAGTACTCAACTCTCCTTACAATATAAAAATAAAAGGCAATTATATTGTCCTTGACCGTGTCGAAAATATACAAGCTTATTCTTTATACAGAATAAATAAATATTTAACCATTCTATAAACAGTACCTATACATCTATTTGCTAATCCTGGCTAGGACTTTTTTTTGTTGTGAACATTGGGTAGGCCCATGTCCAGTAGTCGACATTTGTTGGCTGATGATGATGATTATTATGTATCCCGGCTACACTTTACAGTGGGTGTGCTTAAAATACTTCTCAACTTATTTTATTATACTTTCATACTATGTGTTTATAACCACCATTTTTACTATTAGTAAAGTGCCTTGTGAGCCCTCCCGGGTAGGTACTAACTACCTTGCCTATTTTGGTCATAAAGAAATAATGGGTTTTGGTTTGAATAGTGGGGCAGCCATTGTACTATAATAATTGACACTTAGAACTTATGAGTCAAGCTGAGTGGTAGCATTTGCGCTGTTAATGTCCAAGGGATCCACTTACCACTTAGACCAGGTGGGACTTGAGCATGTGCCCCTAAGTATGCAGAAAAAACTAATTTTTATGTTACAAATTAATACTATAATTACCTATATAAATTTAAACAAATTTAAAATGTGTCTAAAAATAATCTAGAATATTGTGATATACATATATCTTTATAATATTGTTTTTGTTACAGTTATGTTGCTGGACGTCTGAATATTGTTTCCTCTGCTGAGTCAAAGGGAATTGGCACATTTGTTGGTACATTTGCCCTGCCATCCTTAATATTCCTTTCATTAGCCAGAGTTGACTTCAGTACTGTAAATTGGACATTTCTGCTTGCCATTCTAGTGGCAAAAGGGATTGTGTTTTTTGCTGTGATTTTTATTACGTTATTAGTTTCAAAACCAACTCATCTAGGACGAGCTGGCATTTTTGCAATATTTTGTACTCAGAGTAATGATTTTGCATTGGGCTATCCCATTAGTGAGTATTTGTAAGTTAATTAAGATTAATGCAAAGCATTTGAACAATTCTTATTAAATAACACATGGTGTAAATTTTCAGTAAGTGCTCTATATGCCCAAACCCACCCTGAATATGCCCTTTACCTATACCTGATGGCACCAATATCTCTGGCAATATTGAACCCTATTGCCTTTATTTTAATGGAGATTGATAAACAAAAAGGACAAAACCAGCAAGCTGACTCTCAAGCAAAGGGATTGCAAAGCTTGAAATTGTTGAAACAAATTCTCAAAGGGATTGTGTTTAATCCTGTGCTTTTAATGACTATTTTGGGGATGATTGGCAATGTCGCTTTTAAACATAAAATATCTATTTACATTGAAGGCTTGTTGGAGGTAAGATGCTGATAATGAAAAAAATATCTTTGAAAACATTAACTCCTTTTCAGTTCCATATCACTACTTTGTGACTGCAGAAAGTTAAGATGATCTTGTTAGATGCACATAATGCTTAAACATACTATAATTTCCTTGAAATTTAAATGATTGAAAATTATTTACTCTATTTTTACTATACTATATTCATTACTTTGTTTAGGTATTTGGTCAATCTTTCTCAGCAACTGCCTTGTTCCTTCTTGGCTTGCGTATGGTGGGACAAATACACAAATTAAAAGGGCCTGCCCTTGTGCTGCCCTGTGTATTGATTATGGTCAAATTGTAAGTAAGAAAATATAAGCGTGTAATATGAAAAAAATATATNTTATTTACTCTATTTTTACTATACTATATTCATTACTTTGTTTAGGTATTTGGTCAATCTTTCTCAGCAACTGCCTTGTTCCTTCTTGGCTTGCGTATGGTGGGACAAATACACAAATTAAAAGGGCCTGCCCTTGTGCTGCCCTGTGTATTGATTATGGTCAAATTGTAAGTAAGAAAATATAAGCGTGTAATATGAAAAAAATATATATATAAATTTCTGCTAACACTGCAAATGCAAAGACTTAGAATGCATTTGAAATATAATACACATTCAAACTTGAACACCACATCTAGGTGTTCAAGTTTTAATGTCTACTAGTCATCTAGAAGAATGAAAATATAGCATCAGTTGGATATATAGCTTCACTATCCCTTCTACTGTTATAAAAAAGTTATAACTACGTAAATGTTTCAGAATTATTCTGCCAGTGGTCATGAGGGAATGTGTGAGCAGTCTCAATGCAGGAACGAATGAATCTGAGACAATTTCTTTGTCTACATATGCATTCCTGTATGGAACGATACCAACAGCACCAGCTGTGTTTGTTTTTTCTAGTTTATATCAGTTAGAAATTGATCTGGTAAGCATCCTTTTAAACTAGTCTTTTTTAAGTGTATTAGAGTCAGTGACCATTCTCTTTGTGAGTGTGGATTAGATGAGGGTACCCTGGATCACATTTTCTTCGACTGCCCCAATATCATATCCCCTCTTTATGATATCTTTCCAAATTACATTCCCCGACTTATTAATATGAATTGCTTACTAACTTTAATCTATTCTAAACATGTAAATATTCTGTGTAAATTTTTATCTGCTAATAATATTTATCTCTAAAGTAGATAGTCTAACATATATATTTGTTTGTGCTGCTCTTAAAATCACAGATTCGCTTATGGAAAAACTGACCAAATTGATTTGTATTTAGATTTCGTAATTTTTTTCCTCTCTTAAGCACCTGCAATTTTTGTAAATACTTTGACATTGGTATAATCGATGCCTAAGGTGTTGGAGCCAAATTCTTTATAAAAAAAAAGTGTATCACATTACATATACATATTATATTCATTTTTAATTACCATCAAGGGCTTTTTTTATTTTTTATTGCCCTTGTAGGCAGACCAGCATAGGGCTCACCTGATGGTGAGTGGTTACCGTCGCCCATGGACTTCAGCAATGCCAGGGGCAGAGCCAAGCCGCTGCCTACCGCTGCTCCTGGTATCTGTCACCCAAGAGTGGGGTTAGGTGGGTGGCGTCATTTAAGTTGTAATGTCTATGGACTCCGGTAACCACTTAACACCAGGTGGGCCGTAAGTTCGTCCACCATTTAAGCAATAAAAAAAAAACTTTCTGAAACTAGTGTTGCAGCAGTTATTTTAATGGCTATAGCTCACGGCAGACACGAGGATGAAATCCAGCAAAAAGTAGTTTTCTCTTAGATTTTCCTCGGTCTTAGCAGCCTTAAATGCTTCTCCAATCTACTTAATTGTTATTCTGGATAGCAAAATTCTTTTTTGTTTCAGATGGCTTCCTCAATGGTTATTTGCACATTTCTGTCTGGACCCATGATGTTCCTCTCAGCTGAACTCATATCAATAAACAAGGATTATGCTGCTCAAATGAAAAAATTTGGTTTTGATTTATCAATAGTTGCACTTCTTTGCTGCTTGTGGGTGTTGATTGTTTTTGTTATTACAAAGAAACACAGAAGGATGCCACATAGATTAACAATATCTCTTCTTTTATCCCAGGTAGAAAATATAAAATAATATGGAGTGAAAACCAAACATTTGAATTTGCAATTCTGGGTTATTTTAATCCATGCTGTTAGTAAATCTTTATAAATAAATAGAAGTTTCAAATAGTGTAAATTACGAGTGTTAGGATATATTGTGATCTCCTACGTGTAGGTACCGTCCTGCCTATTTCAGCAACGAAGCAGTAATGCGAAACGGTTTTAATTGTGTGACAGTTGTTAAGCATTAAATTTTTAATAGGATAAAGAACGTCACACACGACGAAGATATTAAAATATTTTATCTTAACATACAATATCGCTTGCTATACATTTGTAGTGGTAAGTGACATGGTCACTACACAAGGGGTCGCGGGTTCGAATCCCGCCAAGGGAAGATATTTGTATGATAAATATAAATGTCTTTTCCAGTGTTATGGATGTATATTAAATATGTGTATGTGTATAATAAAAATCTTATATTTATTTCCGTTATCTGGTACCTATAACACAAGTTCTTTACGAACTTATCACGGGACCAGTTAAAAAAAATAATATAAGTATTTGATAGTACATACAAAATGTATAGCGAGCGATATTGTATGTTAAGATAAAATATTATAGTATCTTCGCCGTGTGTGACGCCCTTAAGGGTTCCTTGGCACGAATATACTAATAGTAATATTTAATAAAAACTCTCAGTCATATTTTAGACTAGCGACCTGCCCTCGCTTCGCTTCGGAACTGTAATTTATTATTTATTATACATATAAACCTTCCTCTTCAATCACTCTATCTATTAAAAAAAACCGCATCAAAATCCGTTGCGTAGTTTTAAAGATTTAAGCATACATAGGGATATAGGGACAGAGAAAGTGACTTTGTTTTATACTATGTAGTGATTAGCATGCACAAACAAACAAAAGTCAGATTACGTAGTTTTTATAGTTTATTTTGTAACTTATTGTGCTGAAAGTGATTGTTTCCGATAATAGAAAAAGCAGTGTTCCCAATACAACAATAAAATCTCGATTGTAAAATTGTTTTACACTACATACTTTCACTTTTTAATAAAAAATCAGGCGACGCAAGATCAGCGGTCTCAGGTCATGAAGACAAGTCCTCCTCATTTAACTAGTTTACAAACACTGATACATGAATGTAAACTTGAGATGTAAGGTCCAACTAAGATCAGAAATCATCATTCGTATTGAAAATTAATTATTAATGATTTCTGTAATATTTCCGTGTATTGTTTGTAGATACTTTTGGCCGTGAGTGTAATCTGGGGAGGACCACATAATACTTCTGCACCGTCTTTGAATGCAACGATCCAACAAGCATTTCTCTCTTTTAGCATGTACTCTTGTCTGCTATGGACTTCCATGCTCTCTGTCGGCATCCTTATGTTGCAGGTATGTATAATTTGTACGGCACAATGTGCTACCAGCATTTAAGTACATTAAAAAATACATAAATAAGGAAAAAAATATTGAAATAGTAACTCCAAACCTTAAACTGGTTTATTATTAGCCCATTCACACTTGCACAGGCATGACGCAATGAATATTGTTACGCTGGTAGGAGTAACGCCATCTATCGCCGAACAGTCGAACGAATATCGAAAGATCTAGTAGCATCTAGAGCGTTCGAGATGTACAACGTCATCTATTATCAGATAGCGGAAATACTATACTAGACTTTTGTGGAATATTCTCGACGATTCTAGGGATTTTGTCTCGACTATAAAAGCGTTCCAGAGATGGCACACAGTTAGTAAACGGAACTACTAGAAGCGAAACAGCGAACGGGTCACCTGAAGCGAAGCGGAAGAAGTGAATTGAGAATTTTAAAGTGTTTGTTGAGTGTTTTAAGTGTTCTAAGTGTGAATACAGTTTGAAGTTGTACTTTGGTGGAACATTTATTTATCCCGACCCCAGCGCGTAACAATATTATTGTGCTATGAGCTATACATATACTATATGTTATTATATAATAGCGTAGTCTGAAAGCAGTTTCATCATACCTATATACCTTGGAAAAAGAATATTTTTTGTTGTGTAATGTTTTTTAATAAATTATTTTGTTATTTTTCGAAGGGAGCTTAGCATAAGAGCCATCTGATGATATATCATAGCGTTTGCAAAAATATGTCTGAAGTCGTCATGGCCTAAAGGATAGAAGTGCGGTGCATTCGTGTTGAGCGATGCAACGGTGTTCGAATCCCGCATGCGGCTACCAATTTTCTAATGAAATACTACTTAACAAATGCTCACGATTGGCTTCCACCGTGAAGGAATAACACCGTGTAATAAAAACCAAACCCGCAAAATTATAATTTGCGTAATTACTGGTGGTACTTAGGACGTTGTAGATGTCTATGGGCTCCAGTAACAACCTAACACCAGGTGGGCTGTGAGCTCGTAGACCCATCTAAACAATAAATAAAAAAACTTACCTATAGCATTCATTAAACTACTTCTGTAAACATGTAAAAAAAGGGAAAAATATTTCTGTAAACATGTAAGCATTCAAAAGTCCAAGGTAGTAGAGATAAATTTTACTCGATTGGTAAACTGGGGAGGATGTAATCTCAAAGAATTCCTTGAACATTTGTGAAAAGTGCTCGCAACTTTAAATTGCTTTAAAATAATCGTGAAGGAACATTACCTATTCGCCTAGTATTGTTTGCTTCCTTATGCTTTATCCATTCTGTCGATTTATTATGTGTATGTAAGTATATTGGAATATAAATCATATAGTGATTTCATATTATATTTAACTAACATATTCTATTTAATTTTATTTTATTTATCTATTTATTGTATGTATGTATTTTCTTTAATAATGTATTATTAATAGTACACCGCAACATAACTACTGTATCTTTATCTGTCCACAATATCTGGTAATTAAATGGTTGTCTGAAAGAAATCGCTTTTAGCGATAAAACCGCCTATTGTATAAACGTATCTGCTTGTTGACTGTTTTCTAATGTTAATTGTGTTTTGGTGCGCAATAAAGTTTGTTATCTCACTCTCTCTCTCTCTAAGCAACATCAATAAATAATTGTCAATATTTGTTTTCAGAGCCGTGGTCCGTGTTTTGTTGTGACATTGTGGCCAGTCTTGGGCTTCGTAGCTTGGGGAGCTCCCGCCGTGATGGTGACTGTCCTTCTCGCAACAAAATCTAGCACAGAGAATATTAACAGCCAAGCGACGGACGCAATAAGACTATGTTTATTAGTATTTTGCTTGACGGGTAAGTTTAAGACGAGTTCTAAATGTCGATCCCTATTAACGTAACACAATCCAAGATAAGATAATAGTAGAGGATCCCACGTAAGAACGACCTTCACCAATTTATAATTAGGTGAAAATTATATTTTAACAAAAAAAAATGTTTGTCGACGCGTAACAATAGGATTGCCGCAAAAAAAGTTCATGGCTATGAATAATTAAAATTTTCACCTGGTAATCAAATTGGTGAAGGTCATTCTTACTTAGAAGAAAGCATTGTTGTTGTACTTTTTAAAAACTCAACAAAGCGTGCCAAAGTTCGTCTCCTTGAGCTCTTAGGTTTCCTTTGCAGGCTCACGGGTAGTTGTTAGCAAATCCCTCCTTCTTAAAAAAACTCATTTATTCAATATAAAAAAAAAATAGGCAAGTCAGATAGGATTTTTAAAGTAAATTGGCTATGGGGTCTGTGATATCAGTTCATTTTAGAAAAGGGGTATCATGCCCAAAATAGTTTGGGAATCCCTGCTTTAAGGTATCTATACTAATATATAAATCTACAGTGGTTTTTACGGATGTTCCGTTATAACTACTGAACCATGCATCCGATTGACTTGAAAATTGGTATCCATGTAGAAAATACATGTACTTCATGGATCGGCTAATATTTATATGAGTGTTGGACTACCTACACCAGTTGCGGGGGGGCGTTAATGATGAGAATCTTTGTGGGGTTGAGAAATAATAATGTTAAAATGCCCAGCGAAGCGGACGGGTACAGTCTAGTCTTTAATAAATTTAATATGATGAAAGCAATTACTTTTCACAGTTACAACCGGATGCCTGATTGTGTACATAAGATTGCGACGTCGAAGTGCGCTGTTCGCTTCCTTGTCCGCGGAAGCCACCACTAACTTTAGTCCTCCTGAAGAAACCAGTAGTCTTGTAGAGAATATGGAGCCTACGTCACAGGCACAGTCTGTGTCTGGTGACACTAATGCAGCATTAGGTTAGTCCCCATTGATTTTATTTTTAGACAGCATTCAAATTATGTTACTGCTATTTATAATTTATATAACTAGTCAGGTCATAAGTATTGTCACATGTAAAAACTTTTCTTTTAGAATGCTGGCCACAAAAAAGTTTATTGAATTCGAATTTCGAATTGTTCATGAAAATAAAAATGTATACTTTTAGAATTTTACTCATTTTTAAATATGGAGTGGACGCTTAAAGAAGACCGTGTTGCAGTTATTGCGTTGCATCGTTGCGGTTACGCGCCAATTCAAATTTTTAACATACTGAAAAATTTGAATATAACCAAAAGATTCGTTTATCGTACCATCAAACGATACAATGAAGACTCTAGTGTAGATGACAGGTCAAGAAGTGGTCGCCCTCGGTCTGTTAGGACTCCAGCAGTGATAAAAGCTGTGAAGGCGCGAATTCAAAGAAATCCCAAACGTAAGCAGAAACTGTTGGCCCTTCAGATGGGGTTAAGCAGAACCACGATGAAAAGGGTGTTAAATGAAGACTTAGGGCTTCGGGCATATCGAAGAAAAACAGGACATCGTTTGAATGCTCGTCTAATGGACCTGAGACTGAAGAGATGCCGCGCTTTGTTGAAGCGGTACGCGGGAAAAAAATATCGGGAAATTCTTTTTTCGGATGAAAAAATTTTACCGTGGAAGAGAGCTACAACAAACAAAATGATAAGGTGATATGAATGGTTACATAATGAATAAACTTGTTTCAATTATTTTACATTAAACATGTGACAGAATTTATGACCTGACTAGGTATAAAAAATGATATAGTGTAGTTAAGAGTATTAGTCGTAATTTGTCTGTCCCTTGCCAAATCAAGCGGTGACATGGATTACTTGAAATTAAAATTCTTTGTTAGCTTTTCATGATAGCTAGATTAATAAAATAGTCAGCATTATTCGTATCGTACAAAATTCTTCGTTTTCAAAAATTACTAACAAAATTACGTTCATATGTATTTATAATACATATTTATATTGAACAGCAATAACTTAACCCTGATATTTTATACGCTAACAATTTATAAGAAATCATACTAGGTAGTCATCTCAATAATAACTCGCCAGAGGTCACTAAAATTGCGAACTGCGATGTCGTACAGTCATACATTTACTTAGGTGCACTGATATCGAACACTGGCGGGTGCGTTGATGAAATCAAGCGGCGTATGGCTGTTTCGAGGTCAGCCATGGACAGGCTGAAGAAAATATGGGGGAATCGAAATATCACTAAAGCCACTAAAATCAGACTTGTAAGAGCGCTGGTCTTCCCCATTTTTCTTTATGCTGCTGAGACCTGGACATTGAGAGAAAGTGAGAAAAAGAGGATAGATGCTCTCGAAATGTGGTGCTGGAGAAGAATGCTGCAAATATCGTGGACAGAGTTCAGAACGAATCAGTCAATTCTACAGGAACTCGGCATCAAGCAGCGACTATCCTCCATCGTTCAGGGTCGCATTCTCACTTTCTTCGGGCATGTGTCGCGGCGAGGTGACGACTCAGTTGAGCGCCTTGTGGTGCAGGGCATGATAGAGGGTACAAGACCGCGCGGCAGATCACCGTTACGATGGACCGACCAAATAAAGGCAGCTCTAAACGGTCCCGTTAACGAGTGCACAAGAAGGGCCGCGGTACGCGAGGAATGGCGACGTCTGGTGAAGCGCACCACCAACCGAAGTGATGACCACGACCACTCTGCCAAGAGTGCATACGACTGAGAAGAAGTCATCTAAATAAATATATATAATATAAAAAGCAAGAATCGGTTATATATCTTAACTGTTATTTATTCACAAAGGTTGCTACGGCACCATAACTGCGTCTCCATCGCCCAGCCGACAGCCTAACGGATGCTGTTCTAACGATCCCGACTGTGAAAATGATCTCACCGACTCAAATGATATCGAAGATCTTGGCAGCAACATCAGGTTAGTTATGGGCGAGTTAACATTGCGTTTTCATTTTTTCATATTAATGGTTAATACTAATAGTTTTTTTACATAATGCTTTGTTGATAATAGTGGCGGATAATAGTGTTTGACTCTGGTGGTCACTTATCACCAGACGTCATCGTTTCGTTTATAGGTTTTGAAGCCGTCGTGGCTTAAAGGATAGGATGCCCGGTGTATTCGTATACAGCGATGCAACGAATGCTTGAACCCCGCCGGCGGGTACTATTTTTTTTTCTGAAATACATAATTAACAAATTTTCACGATTGACTTCCACGGTGAAGGAATAACGTCGTGTAATAAAAATCAAACCCGCAAAATTACAATTTGTGTAATTACTGGTGGTAGGACATCTTGTAAGTTCGGGTAGGTACCAACACCCTGCCTATTTCTGCCGTGAAGCAGTGATGCCTTCGGGTTTAAAAGGTGAGGCAGAAGTTATAACTATACAATTGAAACAATAGATGAGTCGAAGAGCTCACAACCCGTCCACGCATAAAACAAAGCTAGAATAGCTAAGAGTTAGTCTGTGTTGCGTTGCAGAGAGTGCGCGTGCCCGTCGTGGCGGCGTGCACCGGACGGCGCGTGCCCGCACTCGCGCGACGTGCAGCGCGCGGCGGCGGCGCTGGGCCTCCTGCCGCACGAGCTCGCGCGCGCCCGCACCGCGCAACTACTCAAGCACACCGTGCTCATCATCATCTACAGTCTCTCCATGTTTATTGTGAGTAGCAGTAGTAGAGAGTAGTAATGAGGCTTATAAAATAAAAGGCATCTTTTTTTTTTTATAGCCCTTTTAGGCAGACGAGCATACAGCCTACATGATGGTGAGTGGTTACCGTCGCCCATGGACTTCAGCAATGCCAGGGGCAGAGCCAAGCCGCTGCCTACATTACAAGCCACGCCTACAAAATCTAAATCCAAGTCTGTCAAATATTCAGATAAACTACAAAAGTCGGCCCTAAGCACGTCATTACGGATCCTCCCAATCCATCGAAGTACTGCTCTTGCTAGGGCCGGTGTTAGCAACACTCCCGGTTTGAGAAGCTGAAATAACTTTGTTCGGATAGCTACGATATTCTTTATTTTAAAGCAGATTTATAAAAAATGAGAATATTACTAATAATCTGAATTTTAAATGATAAAACTTCGTTTATATTTGAGTACAGAGTAAAAATACAATTTTTCAACTGAATTTGCTAGAGATTTAGCTGCATTTGTTATAACATGAAAATACTAAATCGTGTCCAACTAACTAAACAAGATGGGGCCATAGTTAATCTATTTTACTACATTAAGGCCTTTAGCTGCCTTTGATTTTATAGGCCTCAGTTATCCAAATCAAACGTACGACATCAATACCAGCGCCCGTTTTGAAGCAAATGGAATAATGTCGCATCTTTAATACGGATAGTTTGATTGATATGATCTGGATGCCAATCGAGCGGACACTCACAACACGCTCTCCACATGTGTTCTGACCGTCGACAACTTATTTGCAAAATATTACATACGATTATGAACTTTATGTATTGTCACCTATATCATCTCACGTTCATACTTTGTGATTCCGCATTGTAAAGGATACTGGTGGTAGGACCTCTTTCCGCACGGGTAGGTACCACTACCCTGCCTATTTCTACCGTGAAGCAGTAATGTGTTTCGGTTTGAAGGGTGGGGCAGCCGTTGTAACTATACTGAAACCTTAGAAGTCATATCTCAAGGTGGGTGGCGGCATTTACATTGTAGATGTCTATGGGTTCCGGTAACCGCTTAGCACCAGGTTGGCTGTGAGCTCGTACAACCATCTATGCAATAAATAAAAAAATATATATCTAAAATGCAAAGAAAGTAAAGTACCTGTTAAGAATAAAATGTATTACTCATTTCGATGGATATGAAACGGCGGATCCTAATACTATTGTTTTTTTTTTGTTATGGTTCTGTGCTGCTTACGACAATATTATCGAAAGACCAGCCTAAATTGCGTCTATAATTAACAACGAAGGACACATTCTATACGCGATAATATCAGTCGATATTGAATTTTCATCGTTGAGTTTCGCCCATAAATAATAAAATCAATGATAGCACGATAGTTGCTTGTGTTTTATTTTGCAACAATAATCTTAAACATATTTTTGAGCTAACCACATCTAAACTAAGTGATTGTAATGTAAAATAACATAGCTATTGGTACGCAAAAAAAACATGTGTCTTCCTTGATATTTATTCTTATTGAAGACAACGAAAACGGCGTCCCTGAAGTGTTTTTTTGATAAATTGTTAGCATTGCTCTGAAACGGTCACCGTCCCCGCCGAACAGTCGGCATCAATGCTATTTTGAGAAGGCAGCACGACACGAAAACCCTCTTGTCGTGGCCGCCGAAAATTACATAACCGATCCTGTGGACCGAATAGTGAACAGTTGACGTCGCCCTAAACACTTCTTTACGGATCCTCCTGATCCATTAACGGCGCTTTTAGGTACCTCAAGCACCGGTCACCGTCCTCGCCGAACCCATCGCAAGGCTTGGTGAGTAAATTTACCCATAGACATAGCCCCAGATTTTTTTCGCCGGATTTTCTCAGTGGGTCGCGTTTCCGATCCGGTGCACTGCACTTGCTAGGGCCAGTGTTAACAACACTCCCGGTTTGAGCCCCGTGAGCTCACCTACTAGCTCGGTGAATCTAAAATAACCCCTCCAGGTTACCAGAATAAGTAGGAAAAAAAATTTGCTCTAAGTCATCGGTAAGGGAGTATAGAGTAAGTATACAGTCCCCACTTATCGCTAAGCATTCTTTCCAAACCTTGAAGGACACGCATGTCTATTAACGTAGACAGGAATGATCTTACTAATAACTTTTATCGTTTCTAGTATATCAAACTTCAGCTTCTTTTTATTTTTCTAGGGCATAACTTACACTACCTGGAGAATGATGTTGAAAGATGAAAGTGGTGTGTTCGTTGAAATCGAATTTCTGGACGTTGCTGCGAACTATGGACAAGGCTTGGTCCTGTTCATACTGTTTGGTGTTGATCCCGAAGAAATACTGGTCCCGACTTTAAGATATTTGAAAACTAAATGGTAAGTTATTTTATTTATGTTTGTCTAGTGGTCGAATTTCGTCTATAATCACTGATAATGATATTTTTACGGCAATGGTTAAAAAAAATTAAGAATTTTTAAATTCTTGTGTCGTCAACCCTAAAGCTAGTCAATACCTACTAAACAAAAGAAAATTACAGTTAACTGTTTAGTCTTTAGTTAGGCAGTAGTTACCTAGTCTTAATCATTAACGTATAAACTTAAATATATTTATTTATTATTCTATTAAAATGGTTTAACAACAAACAATAGTTATACCATACAGTTAAGATTTAACTACTAGAGTAAATTCGAATAATGGTGAGAAAATCCGCATGCAGCCTACAAATACATTTTATGACATAATTAATAAGTGTATTAAATTTCAATGTAATTATTTCAAAGGTACGGAGCCGATACAGTGATTCTCCCGCCTATAGAGGATTTGAGTTTTGAAACGAAGCACGTCTGTGATCAGTTTATTTCACATCACCTGGACCGCTGCAGGGACGCTATTGCAAAAGATACTAGGTATGAATCAATTTGTATTATCTCAAAAACATTTGTTTTACTTCACACATTAAGGTACATATTATGTGGAATTAATGTTAAATGTTATTTACTAGACAACTGAGGTTGATGCAGAAATATTATAATGCATTTGTTAATGAAGGAAAATATAAATATATTATATAAATATATGTATATATTAATTTCAACACATAATGGTCAGAAATAATCTTTCTCATGAGAGGAAGAAGAAAAAAACGTTGTTAAGATACATCTGATGAGGCAGCAGCGGCAGGAACGTCTCCAAGCCATTGACTGCTTACTGCTCAGAACTCTTCGCAGTCTCTGTTTATAACAGCATATATCATAGCGGAATCTCTGAGAAAAGAAGTGCATAAAAAGAATGATAGTGTAAATATATTATATTATCTCTAATGAAGACAGCAGTTTAATCTAGTAATGATGAATTCTACCTCGTCGGCGGATGAGGCTATTGCATAAAAGGGATGATGGGATTACCTCAAACAATCACTCGAATTAATTGTCTCATTTAACATTGTGCGTTTCTAGATTTCACGAATCGTAGAGGTGGTGGTCAATTACAAGACCAGCAAGATCGATTTTGCCTAAAAAATAATTAAATTATTTACATTCAGATGGCGCATGAGAACGTACCGTGGTGTCTTCAGGGGCTCGTGTCTTGTGAAATGGTTAATTGACTGCGGTCTCGCCAAAGACGAATATGAAGCGGTCACGTATGGACGACATTTGGTCGACGGTCGGCTCATAGCGCACGTGAGTGACGCTCATCACTTCACAAATTCACCAATGCTCTACGCTTTCAAGTAGATTATGACGTGTGACGTCAATATTATGATTACAATCTCCACTCACAGCTGTTTTACACGGAGATGATTATAAGTCAAACGAAAGTGATTTGTACTCACCCTTAACTGTATGATCTCGTCAAACGTATAATAGTATTCGAGGAACGAAAACGCCTCAAATATATTTTGTAGTATAGTGTACTAGTACTAGTGTACCAACAATATTGTTACCTGATATTTACGCCTACGATCTTCTTCGTAACCGATATAATCTACTTAAATAAATGAGCCCTAAGAACGTCGTGGAACGACATGACCTTGATTATGGAGATGGTAAAACATGATACATAGTTTTAAGATAAAATTTCATTGAAGTTTTGACTTGACATCGCATTAATATAGGATTTTTCTATCTTGCCAGTTAGTAGTGAGCTTAATTTTTAATTAACAGATAGTGAGACCTAATTCCAATGAATCTAGTTTAAAATTGCGGTTTTTAAATTTTTGTTTGTATATATGGGATTAAATATAAAGTGAGCATTCCGTGGGTATCCTTAAAAACTTGGGAAAAATTAATTTTAGTTAAATGACATTGTTTGTAGTCGATATCGTTCAGTTATACAAATTACCATTCTATCTGCTTAGTTCTGTAATGAATTATTAAATAACAGCATATATTACTCTGTCTCTGGTTTGAAAGAGATCAGTAATCACTTAATATGTAGCTATTGGACCATGAGCTGATCCGCCTATGGGAAACTTAAAAGCTTAAGCTCTCTATTATATCTCATAAATAAATGAAATTGTATTTTTAGAGTAGATAGCACAAGGAGAAATTGTCAAGTGAGCATGAAAGGAATTAATCTGGATCTAAATTGAAGGCTCTTAAAGTTTGAATTAGTAAACCTACACAACAAATTAAGCCATACTTTAATATAACTGCAAAACTTGTATCATTAAAGTCTGGTATTTGATTATAATAAGAAACATATTGATTTGAAAATAAACTTGGTTAAATAACATTGATTTTGAACAGGTGGTTTGCTTTTCATCAAAAATTACATTTTTTGTGTCTTTCCTCATGGTTTTAATTTTGAGACTCATATTTCACTTGAAAATTTCATCGTGTATACTTGTAATTAATAATACTAAGTATTTAATGTCTTTATATAAAGCATAGTCAAAGGATTAATAATCGACATAAAAATTTAAAATTTGTAACCTAGCTTTAGATGACATTTATTTTGGACAACCATTTCATTACCAGTTTTTTTTTTCTTACCTAAGTTGATGGTCTTGAGTGACCATCTCAGTGTACTGGGGTGAATTTATTTTGGACAACTATTTCACAACCAGTTAACAACTCATAATATTATTGGCAGTAGACACTCTCATCTAGGCGATTTATAATATAGTATATAGAACTATATAGTATGCAGAACTATCTTTCTGTATATATGGTAGTAAAATATAAACTGTTAATTATGTAACAGTAAGATATACAGAAATACCCCTACTGCTTTCAGAAAGTTTATTGGCAGTGAAAATGAAAGTGGTAGTATCGAGTATAATTAAATCTTGCCCATTTAAGGTCGCAGCTCATTAGAGTCACCCGGCACCCACTCCCCACCGCCTCGTCGTGCGGCGTCCAAACGTGATCGATAAGTGGTCCACGTGTGGCCGCCACGTGGTTAACGACTGGGCGTCGCTTGTTCAACGAATTTTCCAGTTATAGTCAGTTTAACTATTGGTGTCGTTCTCGTGTGAATTTTTTGTGGCCAGCATTGACAATGCGCAGTCATCGTAAGGCAAGTCGCATACTTAGGCATACTTAGGCATAGCAGCGAGTTGTCGCCGAATGGTCCACCCGCCATTAGCGCGTGTAGGCTTACGACCGAGGCGATCCGGTGATGCTACGGAGTTGATGTAGTGAGCGCATACCCATACAAGTCCATATAAAGAATACTAACCGCACGTGGCGAGCCGGTGCGGAGTGAGTACCGGGTGGCTCTAATGAGCTGTGGCTTTAACATCTGTGAAATCTTTGTAGAACTATTAAAAGTCAAGTCAGAAAAAAAGGTAGAATTGCGTGTAGAATTTAACAAATTTGAAATTAAAAAGCGCAGGCCAATCCGTCATCTTAAGGCTAAGTTCACATGACCGCGCGGTACCGCGCGGAACTGCTCACCGCGCGGTACAAGATCAATTTAAGCAGTATTTATTGTACACATAACAGCGCGCTGCCGCGCGGTAACGCGCTTTGCGCTGCGACCCGCGCGCAGGTTCTTGTACCGCGGTACAAGTTCTGCAAAACTGTATCTACCTGTTCAGCTAATCCGCGCGGCTTGAGACGGACAGACGCATAGATCCAAGAAAAATGAGTACCTAGCGAAGACGATATCGTGTCTATCGATTTTGAATAGTTTTCAAGGCAATCATATAAAAATGAAAAGATGCAACTGACATCTTAAACTAGGTAGTAAAAGAATTTTATTCGTGTAGTCTCAGGTCGGGATATAAAGTTACAAAAAGGCTTGAAGAAAGTCTTTCGATTAAAATAGGATGCACCCAGTATCGCCTTTGTCTTCTTCTCCGATGTCTCAGTTTTCTGTATAAAATTAATAAGCAAATTGCTTCCTCCACGTCCATTCTCAATCAATGTTGATGCCAGACTCTCGCGCGTACATTCTGTCATGTGAACGTTACCACCGCGCGATCATATGAACTTAGCCTAAACGTCACGACATCCAATTTACTATTTTAATTATTATCCGTTCGTAGAAAGACTAACCAACTCTCCGTCAAAGTTCTCAGCCAAATAATGCCACCGTACTATTATTATTTATTACTAATCACTAGAAACTTAAGACCAGTACTGATGACAAACACGTAGTTTTACCAGTACATTTTATCTACACAAGCATATTCTGACAAATATAGCAAATTTTCATACAATTCCACTAATATTAAAAAAAATCCCATGTACAGGCAAAACTGTACAAGCTTAACTTACATAAGCTTAAGTGTATACAGTACCTATACCCTGTATAGCTAGCAGAAAAGGATCAAACCGGTTTTTTTTGTAGCACATTGTTATTTATTTTGCAAGGTGATTTTAATATTGTAGAAAGTGATAGTGTAAAAGTAATTTTAACTATTCTAGATTTTATTTTATTCCTTTTTGAACTGAGTGATCTCATCAAAAAGTATCATTAGTTGGTTACATATGCCTGACCCATAACTTTTTGTAATTTGGTGCATTAAAGGATTTAGACCCAGGTCAAAACACTGTGATTTTAGGTTTTTTTTCGACAAGGTTACTATGGCATAGTATCTACTTATAACGCCGAATTCTTAAGTTAAGATTGGCATTTAGTTATTATTTTAAAATAATAATAAAATAATGGAATATAATCACTATGTATTATTATATAATCATGTTAAATAAATATTGTTGCAAATTATATTTTACTTTTATTTACTTTAACGTTTTAATGAGGTTATAATTCTTGAATTAATAGCGAATCTTAAGCAGACAATTCGTAATCAACGTCCTCCTTGAATAAAGTGGAAGTCTACATACAGTTATTATCAACTGACTCTTATGATTAGTTCCAGATGGCTTATTCCAATCTTTAGGGGTTACCAGAACCTATAGACGTCACTTGAATTTGAACCCATCTTTAGTATATTACACGCAAAATTATAATTTGCGTAATTACTGGTGGCAGGGCCTTTGTGAGCCCGCACACGTAGGTACCACCACCCCGCCTATTTCTTCCGTAAAGCAATAATGTATTTCGGTTTGAAGGGAGGGGCAGCTGTTGTAACTATACTGGGGACTTAGAACTTATATTTCAAGGTGGGTGGCACATTTACGTTGTAGATGTCTATGGGCTCCAGTAACCACTTAATACTAGGTGGGCTATGAGCGTGTCCACCCATCGAAACTAAAAAAAAAATTTAATCAGCAACTAAACCCTCTTAGTTTCCCTGTATATTCTCAGTAGCTCACAATTTCAATCTCCTGATAGATGAACTTGCCATGTGCCTTTTATGATTAGCTTCCTTTGGAGACATTCAGAGAAGTTTAACAAACCGTTTCCCCAAACATAGTACAAATAAAAAAATAACAATAGAAGCTGAATATTTTATTCATCATCTATTTCATCCTCTTCACCCTCTTGATCTGGTGTCTCCCACCAAGTTAAAAGTCCAAGTCCTGGTTCATTTATTCCTCCAATCAGTCTATAAGGTGCTACCGTTTGTACTGTACAATCTGTTCCTGGAGGACCTGTTGGTAAGCTCTCTTCAAAAAACTCACTTGTCACTCGAAATCTTATTGATTCACCTGTAATTTGTTTTATTATTAAAAGTACAGATTTTCAATGTTAACAGTAAAAAGAATATTTGTAGTGATGATAAGGCATAATATTTGTGTAGTTATTATAATTCACATCTAGATTGTGTCAATCCACCAATGTAGTTTTTTAGGTGCTTTTATTATTGGCATTGTCTTCTAAACAAATACCCTTTTTTTAAGTTTTGTTAGTCAACAGTGCTAACCTGTGTTTTGGCATATTTTATTTTGCTTAAATGGGTGGACAATCTCACGGCCCACCTGGCATTAAGTAGTTACTGGAGCACATAGATATCTAAAATTTAAATGCAGCCACCCACCCTGAGACAAGAGTTCTATGGTCTCCGTTTTTACAGTGCAACACATGCACCATCCTTAAAACCAAACACATTACTGGTTCACACAGAAATAGGCAGCTGGTGGTGGAGTCCACCCATGTGGACTCATAAAATGTCCTACTACCTAATTATACAAATTATAATTTTGCTAGTTTGGTTTTTATCACACAATATTATTCCATCATTGTGGACGTCATTCGTGAACATTTGTTAAGTACGTATTTCATTAGAAACATTGGCACCTGCCTGCGGGAATCTTCATTATAGAAAACCCATCTGTGGCATTTCTAAACAATACAAAGGTAGCAATGCTAATGCTGGGACCAGACTATGACACCAACACATTGTGTTTCACTCAGCAAGTGTACTTTTATAGATTTTAACATATATTTGAAATTTTAAACTGATTTATTAAAAAATATTAAATGTACATATATTAATTAATTTGAGTTTTGATAATACACACCTGAGTCCATGAACAAATCATGTTTTTCTCCATCTTCCTTAGGATATTCCCATACCCATGCTTGATCGGTTTCGTCAAATCTAGACGGATGCTGAAGAGCATTTACTGGTATTAATATATCATCGAAAAAGCCTAATGTCACTGAAAATTTTAAATAGTAATTATAATCATGATTTATTTACATTTGGGTCTCATTATTGAGTATGATGACTGATAAATTACCGTGCACGCCTTCTCTACTGCAGCTCCTTATTTTTCCTATAAGTATCTCTTCAATAATAGGTCGAAACACGATATATCTAAATTTCACCTCTGTGTGAGATGAACCGTCTCCGGGGAATATGTACGAGTGTCCAACATTGGTTATGTCAAACAGTACAATACATAAGCCTACTTCTAACACAACCTGAAAATACATATTTAATAACATATTTAAACAATTAATAATAAATACAATTAGATAAACTAATTTGGTTAAATTAATTTGGATAGTTATGATTTATGAACCTTATTAGCTAACTTTCTGTTGAGTAAAGTTGTTATAGAATCAGTTAGACTTTGACGAAAGTATTCTGGATTGACTCGGATAACATCTTTCATTTCAGCTAATACAAACATTGGTTTATTTGATAAATATATCACTATTAAATTCTATTTAAAACTTCGGTTTTTTGAAGATTTTATGGTCTGTTCTGTTTACTATTTTGCTTTTTTTTAAGAATTGAAGGCATGGGTACGAGTTTTTTAAGTCAACCTTCCATTAATTCATTCCATATCGACGCTTGAAAGGCAAACGTGACTAAGCGACAATAACTGCTTTGTACATAAATGATAGGCAATAACCATATTCGAGGCGCAAAAAATATATATTATTCCAACTTTAACTTTAGTCTACTGTAAAGTTCACGCATTGTCGCTTAGTCACGTTTGCCTTTCAAGCGTCGATATTAATACACTTAATATTAAAATTTGAGGCTCATTCTGTAGAGAAAGCATAGAGTTAGAGTTAGTACCTATCATGGAGTTAATAAGGTACCATGACATGGGGTAAATTGGGATCCTGGGGTAAATTGGGACAAACCTGCGGAAGATTCTCAAAGTACCTGTAGCACGGAATCTACCTAATTTTGTTTATGTTAATATTTATCAATGTATAGAAGAAAAACCAAGTTAACTATGGAAGTACTAAATATGAGCTAAGTTGGTCCCAAAAATTCGTCAAATTAAATTGAAAATAGTGGTTGAAAAGTGCGTTTTAAAACAGCTTACAGAACTTTTAAAAAAAGTAATATTATCGTTGTTTTTTCAATAAGATCACAGTTTATATAAGTTTTTAATACACCTGGAAATACCACAACAAACGGTAAGTTGCAATTTTCTTATTTTAAATACAATATTTCGACAAAATAAAAAATGTATAATTTTTCCTTTCTTTTTGGGGAAAATTGGGACGTGTGTGGGGTAATTGGAACGAGAGTGGAAAAATTAGGGACGAGAAAACACAAAATTGGAACGCCAAAAGACAAAATAGGGATGGATTGTTAGGGTTGTCACTGATATCTTATAATAGATTTTTTAGCCTATACTATCACTCAATTGCGTGATGTAAAGAAGGTTAATGTGTTTATCAGTTAGTTTATGTAAGTACTATAGGTAAAAGAAAAATATATATATAATTACATTTTTTCGCGATATTTACCTTGTAATATCTGCCCGGTCGTATGTCCTTTATAGCAATAAAATAAAATTAAAAATTAAAAAGAACTCAAACGAATCAAAACTTTTGTTATTTCAGAATCTATTCACGCGTCGAATCATGATTTTTTTAACATTCACAACGCACATACAAATAAAAACAGGCCTCAGATTTTAAATGTAACATTAATTATAAATCCGAGATATCTAGGTTCCAATTATGAGTGAGTGAATTAATTGAGTTTAGTTATTTAGCTTAAAAAGAATTTCTTTTATTTTTGTTATTATAGGCAGTAATCAGATAAATCTGCTTTTTTATCTTATTAACCTGATATCTTACTCTTGCTCAAAGATTATTTTGAAAATGTTGATTAAATAAAATTGTATTATTTTCCAGTCCTTCCGTTTTCTATTCTTTATTCTATTTTATGATTTTGTTTCAGAGTTGTGATTTTTAAGGAAATTAAATAATAATTTTCTAAAATATAACATGCACATACTTTTTTTAATCATTGTATTGTTGATTATCATTCACGTCACATCGCTTCGGAATAGAAACCAGCTTAACTTACACTATGTTGTGTATTGTGCTTAAATTATGGATTGTATTCATCACTTCGGTCCATATAAATAATTGTATGGCACCTACCTACCTACCTATATATCGCAGTACCGCGAACTGACAGCCCTTACAAATATCCCAATTTAACCCTTACCCGTGTCAATTTACCCCGAATGCGGGGTAAATTGGGATGGCCATTATTTTTCCGATTATTTCTTTAAATTGAATAATTAAAATAATGTAACGGTTTTTATCACCTAGGTACATTCAAGACTCAACTTATTTCTTTGGTTGAGCAGTGACTATTTAATTGGAACTATGTTAAAATTCAATCTGAAGTTCGATTTTGTCCCTATTTACCCCATTTTACGGTACCGTGGTAATATATCGATGAAGGTACCTATCAAATAATAAGTATAATCTATGGTTAGTACCTATTAACTCCATGAGAGAAAGAAGACCCTTTGGCGGGACCACGAGGAGTGCAATTGTGTGATTTGTTTTATTTTGTTTATTTAGTGTTTCGTCAGTTTCAAATGTGTAATGACGGTGGTTTATTAACTGTTTAATATCTGTGAAAATGCACAAATATGGGAAAATGAATTAAAGCCGCTGGACGTAACTTCTCGGATTCCTCCAAAAAGTCGACTGAAAAAATCTCAGTAAATTATGTACCACCATTTTACTGAGATTAAATTCATCCCATATCATCTCATCTCATTTCGTTTCATTCCATTTCACTCCATATTAACCTTTTTCATAAAAATAAGAATATAAATTAAAATAAGACATTTCTTAAAGGTCTTAGTTACCAAGTCGTAAAATTCATTAAAAAAAACTAAAATATTGTTTATATTTGAAATATTTGACCTAAAGGTCTATGTTACCAGGTCATAAAATAAAATAAAATTTACGTACGGTATTGTTTTTATCATGCAATTGAAAAATTAATTTAGCAATAAGTAATTTGCTTCTACTCATTGTGGAATGTAAACAACATCGTGCATCTGTATAGTAAATATTTAGATAATATATATGTTACTTTCGTAGCTATACACAATGCAAGGTAAGTTTTTTAAATCTATTTATCTTCATTGTCTCAAATAAAAAATAGTACTTAATTTCCAACAACTTTGTTTTAGGACATCGAAGGCATAGGTCTAGATCGCCTTTGAAAGAAAGCAATGGTGGCCGCCGAAGAGATGGAAACAGCCATGAAAGCAAGAGGGCTAGCGACTTGCCTAATGCAAATGTCATGAACGCAATGATGTTACAGAATATGTATCAACAAAGTAATGCAAATAGTTCTTAACTCCACTGTACTCTATTTTTGTTTAGAAAACTGTAACAAGAATTCGGTTTAAAAAAAAAGTTTTATTTAGTGTTAGTTTCGTGTCCATTAAGAAATACATAACTGAACAAAGAGTAATGCTGTTGATAATCCGTGTAACAGATACATGCATATATTTTTTAGTTCACTTACAGTTATTTGTTTACCACACAAAATAACACAATTCACAGGCAATTTTTTTACAACAATGCATTACAGGTACAGAGCTAAAATCAACCACTGATCTTTGAGTTTAGTTTATCAGGTATTTTTTTAATAGGTAATATTAAAAGTTTTCATCGATTTCTTGGGCTGAACTATAGCAATCATGACTTTTTTTTAATGGAAAACAAAAAAAATGTTATGTAAAAAAATCTTCATGAGAAAACCAGATTAAACTTTAAAAAAGTGATATTATTATAGTTGGTCACTACAGTGTCAAAATGTATAGAAAATCGCTATTGTTGTTTTTATATTGTTTTTTCACATTCCATACAATTTTTGGTCCTACAAATATATTTCAGGCTCTTATCTTAAATTCACTTTGTGTTTTCTAAAAACATATTTAACTCTTGTATTTGAACCATACAACCTGTATAAATGAAACAAGATCAATTTAAAGTAATATAAAAAAAAAAAAACTGAAAATTGAAATGACAATCAGAATCATGTGATAAACTTTCAACAAAAAAGAAAATGTTATTTTTGCACTGTTCAACTCTTTGTAAAAATGTTATGTGTCAAATCTACTCCAGGTGGCATGATGATGGCTGGTGGAATGTATCCAAATATGATTATGCCTAGTTCTGTGATGGGTGGAGGAATAATGCCATCAACTGGCATGGAGATAATGTCAACCACAGGAATAGAAATAATGCCCCAGCCTTCTATGGACGTGTCTGCAATAGGGACTCCAACAATATCCACACCAGGTAGTTCAACAATTGATATGAATATGATGGGAGGAATGGTGGTAGATCCTGCAATGATGGGAATTTATGGAATGACTGGAGACCTATCAAACTTGCATGAAAAGAAGGAAATTGTGTTCAAAAACTGTAAGCTAATTCCTCCAGATTCTGGTACTCCTCAACCTCCTCGTCGTGCTAAACCACCTGGTTGTCGTACTATTTTTATTGGAGGCCTCCCAGATAAAATACGTGAAAGTTCTGTCAGAGAGATATTTGAAAACTATGGCAGGATTATATCATTAAGATTATCTAGAAAAAATTTCTGTCACATACGGTATGACAGAGAATCCTGTGTTGATGCGGCGATGACAATTTCTGGTTATCGAGTGAAACTTATAAATAAAGATGGAGACAATAATGGAGAAGAACAGGATACCCATGGTACAGTGGGTTGGTTACACGTTGACTATGCCATGGTAAGTTATTTTATGTTTTTTCAATTTTTTTGTAATACATTTGTTGTAAAGGCTTATCCTTTGATCTTTGTGTTCAAAAGTAAGAAATTTTAAAATTTAATATTGAAATTATTTATCCAGAGCAGAGATGACCAAAATGAATTTGAAAGACGACAAAGACAAGCATTACGAGTTCAGCAAGCTCAAATGCAGCAGTTGAATGCTCAACAAGAAATATTAAACTCCACAAATGAATATAGGCAATCACCATCTCCAGTAAGGATTCAGCCATATTCAAACCCTGCTATGGTACAACTCTCTGAAAAAATTAAAAGTGAAGAGCATTTTTCAAGTGCCTTACCAGTAAGATGTTATGTACTTCATTTCAAATGAATCAAGTAACCCTCGGCATTTCGATATTGTATTTATCTTTCAAATTTACAGACCTTACTTGCATGGCTTGAACGTGGTGAATGCTCCAAGAAAAATTCAAATCAGTTTTACTCCATGATTCAGGCTACGAATTCTCATATACGTAGATTATTTAATGAAAAAATGCAGGCTGAAGAAGAGCTGCAGGAGTGTAAGGACAGAATTAGGAAAACAATGGAAAATGTGATTGATCAACGTAAGTACTTAATGTTCATTTTATCCAGTCTGTAGTGCCTTGGTCATTCAACATTATACAATGTCTATTGCTAAGGTAAGATCGCAACAATGTCCCATGTTTTGATATTATAATCAGCCAAGCAAGCCGAGGATTCAACAAAAATCATCTCTGCGTATGTCTTTTTTTGTTGAATGAAATTTTTTTATGGAGAAGTTTGAAATAATGAAAAAAAAAATTGGTAAAATTTCTCTTATTTTTATGAAGTAAGGTGCAGCAGTCCTCTCCAAGTGAACGAGAAATTTGTTGCTCATAGAAGTTCATAACTGAGTAACAAGTGCCAGTGAATTGTAAGTTTAGCTATGATTTGGCAATATTATTTAATATTAATTTTTTTTATTCTAAATGAGATGTATTTGTAATATGTAAATAAATCTTATATTTAAGTGATTACTTTATTGCCAAATCATATGTTCGGTTTCTCAGTGTGTGTTAATCACACCAACTAGTGCTGCTCACTAATCTCAGCTTCGCAATTTGCGACCTCATCGGACATGCATCGATATTGCCTCGCCGTCTAATTCAGTCCCAGAATGTAGTCATGATAATTGAAGGAGATCTTGTATCGATTACCAAGATACGTGGGACGACCGCTCGCGATGGCACGACGGTATGTTCGGTCAAGTGGCAGCTGCCTCTCTCTTAACATAATCTGTAAACCTCAGTCGAACAGGTGGCGAAAGTGTTTACAGCATCTACCCACCAACGAGTCTGGGATCATTTCACCAAACCCCAACGAAAGAACATTGAGACATGGCAGAAAATGGCACAGGTATATTGTCTTATAAAATTACTCTAATGCATAAAACGTTTGCACTGAACTCTGATGCTGGCTTCACTACGTCGACGTAGACGTCATGAAACGAAAATTAAAATTACTCTTTTTATTTATTTATTGCCTTTGCCGGCAGACGAGCATACTGGCCCACGTGATGGTAAGCGGTTAACGTCGCTCATGGACGTCAGCAATGCTAGGGGCAGAGTCAAGCCGCTGCCTACCATTACCATTACATTGCCTACTATCTGGTTTTACATTGTTGCTTAGCTGAAGAGAACGGAACTCCAGCCAATACGGCGTAAAGTTTAACCGTCGCCTGTATTAACAATGCTGAGATGAATCTATAATTATTAATTACCACTGGATCATATTGAATACATAGGTAGGTAACCAGTCCCACATACGTGATGCCGGTAGGAACCGAACATATGGCACGCCAAAACCGAATCGCTCATCTAATCTCCTCTCGCTGTGCACAGCGATTTCAACCCATTACATAATATTATGCACAGTGTGCTTAGTGCGAGTTTTTTAACGTTCTCGATAGCGTAAAAGTTAGCTCATATTTGTATAGAATGGAATCTTTTGCGTACGTTTGCCGCTAGGGGCGCTGTTCCAACTGAATACAAAATTGGGTTAACTTTTACGCTATTGATAACGTTAAGAAACTCACAATAAGCACACAGTTCGGATATTGGTTGAACTGGAGGCTTCTGAATGTGTACAGTTTTGGGTTAAATTATAGTCAAAATTCCACGGATGTATAATGTTAAAAAAGCATAAAATGGTATCGGAGGCTTGGTAAGTATCAGCTCTCAAACTACTCTGGTTCAGGGGATTCTCGAAAACTGCAGTTACAGGTAACTTTAATATGATTAATGTATAGGCGTATTCGTAAAATTATTTTGTTTCTTTTTACTGACAACCTTTGAATGTAATTAATTTAATATTAACAAAATATATTATTAATATTTTGTACAGGAATTTAGTACACTGAAAGAAGAATTGTTTGAGAAATTTTACAATGACGACGACTATAATGGCTGTAAGGCATCTGATGGGTACAATGAAGACATTCAAGTTTTAAAGGTAATATTTTGATTTAAATATTTATAACAATTTGTTTTTAAACTAGAGGTCCCGCAGTAGTCGAAATCCGACTATAATTAATTGGAATTGTAAGTTTGTATAATAACCGGCAAACTTCTTGAGCATTTGTTGACGTAGTGGGGGTAAGTTTGCGCATGGTACACTCACGTGCAAAAACATTACTTACTCTGCGTCATAATGATATTAAATTATTAAAATCAACATATGTATTTATTTATATATTTATTAGAACATCAACAAAACATATAGGTTAATAATTGTAATAATTTAATCTTGGGGTAAAATAGATATTCCTTCTATTAAGTCAAAACTAGAGCTGTTGCCAGGTCTTGGTTCAGTTAAAGCGAAGCTGGTATTTGTAATTTTTTTTTCGTTATCATAATCTTGACCATCATCATCATCACTGTTTTCATCACCCGAGTCGCTATCATCGTGATGAGTCGACATAGGGCTCATCGGCGTAGTTTACAACTCGGTCGATTCGGTCTTCTTTTTTGTCTATAATTAATTATTTTTTGAAGATATTCGATTCGTAGTAATCGAATGTTACTTTTTTCATTTACCAGCTTCCGATTATTTTCTGTTCTTTTTTTCCATCTGAAGCCTAGCTCTTTCATAATTCGTCGTAAGCTTCATTCCGAGCCATTAAAATTTATATCTTCTTTAAATTTTTCGAAGCCTTTCTACGGTACGGAGTTTCGCTGCTTGTTATGTAGTTATTATGATTACATCTTTTTATTACAGATTGAACGAAACTATCCATTCCGGTAACTTTCTTCTTCCCTGATCTTTTCTTACCCGGAGTCCGAAACACGGCGAGCAAGCCAGAGCCTTTAGCTTCGTTAATAATGCACCTAACAGTACTCACTGATGTTTTTGTTGCTTCCGAAGTCTGTTTTAATTTTTCCATATCATTCTTCCCCTGTTTTATAATGAAGCAATATACGTCGTACACAAATTTTCTACCCTTTCTTTTAAGTACTACACCAGTTTGTCACGGCATAGTGTATGTTTTATAAAAAATCAACAAACACTCAACAAATAGCAATGGCAACAAAGTCTACAAGCAATTATAACAAATAACTTAACGATTAATAACGATAGACTTTCCACTGTACGCAAGCGTACCTTTGGGAGCAAGCGGAATGAGGGCGCGGTGCGGGACGCAAGGTTCGACTGATCTACCAATAACACGCTCGATACGATTTCCCCTGCCGTCGCGCCTCACCCTCACCACCAAAGTGATCTAAAATTCGGTTCTGCGCAGTCAAGGTCATTTGCTCAAGAAGTTTGCCGATTACTATACACTATTATGATTGTATTTTATACTTTATAATCACAAATTTCGCTAAGGCTACATTAAAAAATATTAATAAAGACAGTTTGACCACAGACGTCAAGAACAAAAGTTTGACAATAAATAGTATGCATGCGTGTGTGCGTCAAACACATGGTATGTAGTGTGTGTAATGTTTTCTTTATTGATTTAATGTATCTATTATGCATTATTTTAAGAAAATATTAGCATTGTGCACTTCTTCTTTGTATTTCTCTATAAGTGTGGGAAATTTCATACTCCTCCGTCCGCGCAATTTTCGTAAAAAGGGATACAAAGTTTTTGCTTCACGTATTAATATATAGATACTCAAATGTCAGGGCTAATTTACAAGCTGAGTTGACTAGGTACTAGACCTAGGAAAACCTCATGTAAACAATTATCTTTTTGCCCAATGCAAACAGATACTACTATACATACAGATTTTACTATATTCTGAACAATACTGGTTTGCCTATTATTCGTAAATTTGTGAAAAACAAAATTGTCTAATAACAACAATGTAATATTTATGAATTCTTTGAATTAGCGCGAAAATGAAAGTCTGCGGTTCCAATTGGAAGCTTACAAGAATGAAGTTGATTTAATAAAAGCAGACTCTCAAAAAGAGATGGAGAAATTCAAAGCGCAGTTCATTGCTCGTCAAGCTTTGCAAGGAATTTTTGAAAACAAGAACGTAAGTGAGGTAATGTTTTTATTTATTTGGTTTTTTTTTCCCCTTATTTATTAGAAAACATTTTTGTTTAATAAATCGATTTTTTAACTCATAATAATATAATTTACATTTTTTTCTATCTTTGTGTAAGAAAGGGAAGGTGCGTCCGCGAAATCAATATGTTCTAACATAGTGGTAAAGGGGGTCAGAAATATCCAAATTATTAATTATCTAGCTGACCTGGCAGACTTCGTAGTGCCTCAACCGATAAATAAAAGACCGAAACTTTTGTAAAAAATAAACCTAAAACAAACAAAACGAATCCGTCCGAGGGGGGGGGGGGACCAAAGGAAAAACAAAATTGATATTTTTATTTAAATCCGATCATTTTCAATTTTTTCACCTTTTAAACCTTCTCTGGACTTCCACAAGTAATTTAAGACTAAAATTAGTCAAATCGGTTCAGCCTTTCTCGAGTTTTAGCGACACTAACGAACAGCAATTTATTTTTATAGATAACTATTGATAACTGATATAGATAACTATTTAGATCCTACAACGAGTGGGTTGATAGCTCAGCTCATTTGTTATAAAAATAAATAATTATTATTTACTATATTTTCAGCCTCCCCTACCATCTCCGGTAACGAAGCCTCCACCTCCGCCACCGTTGCCTGATGATTTGAATTCGAAAGTTCATTTGAACGAGACAGTCGAAGTCGGCTGTGGAGAAGCCAAATTAATTGGTGTTATGTCAGCGTTTTTGCAAGTACAATACCGTATTTAGCCGTATTATCGTATTAATATAAAAAATATTGTGTAAGGTTGGGTTCACACGGCATTGTCCGGCACGTTTATTTGCAGTGTACATACGTCTTAACGAATGAATAGTTACACATACATAAAACCATTCACGTCATGTCGTTTGTCAAACGAATATTCAACGGACTTGTCAAGCAAATCTAATGAACTTTAATGTTGGAGTGGCGCATAGTATAGCTCTGTCTCATTCACACGTTCGTTTTTGTACGAATGAAAATCTACCGTATGAACACCCGTTTGAGTGTACGACTACAAAGAAAACGTGCAGGACAATGCCGTGTGAACCCAGCCTAAGTTCTTGTAAACTTCTTGATCACCGTTGATATTTGATACCCGATGAAACAGAAATGACATTAAAAATAGACCAATATGAACATAATATGCAGGATTCAGCGCGCGGGAGAAGTATGGCGAAGGTTTCACGTCTCCTACGTGTCAGGTGCACGCGTGACGCGTGTTTTCTTATTCTTAGTTGTTTTTATTTCTTTTTGATTTCCTCTCTAGGGACTCCTAGAAGATATTTTTCCTGGAATTAACATACGGAAATAATTTAGAAACATTTGCCAGTTTTTTTACTTGTTTTTATTTTTTATGTATCTTTATTAGCTTTTGATCTGTATAATAAATAAATAAATAAATAGATCATAAATACATAAATAACTCATAAATGAAATTTTATTGAATTTCTCCAGTGTGTGCTTAGTGCGAGTTTTTTAACGTTCTCGATAGCGTAAAAGTTAGCTCATATTCGTATGGAATGGAATCGTTTGCGTACGCTTGCCGCTAGGGGCGCTGTTCGAACTGCATACAAAACTGGGTTAACTTTAACGCTATCGAGAACGTTAAGAAAGTCGCACTAAGCACTCTGGATGATCGTATGGTATTCAGGTGCACCCGCAAGGAGCGAGCCTGGACTACGTGTTGTCGTACGTGCGCGCCGTGTTCCCGGACGTGTCGCAGGCGGCCGTGCACCGCGTGCTCCAGAGACACGCGGACGTGTTCAGCCGCACCACGTCAGGGGTCGGAGCGAACATCGAGCACCGCTGGAACTTTGTTGCCTTCCAGAACGCCGACTCTGGATCATAGCCTCAAGACGGAATACAATGTTCACGATTCCAAGGAGATTCTCGAAACATAAAATATAATTTATTGCGGTAGGCAGCGGCTTGGCTCTGTCCCTGCCCCTGGCATTGCTGAAGTCCATGGGCGACGGTAACCACTCACCATCAGGTGGGCTGTATGCTCGTCTGCCTACAAGGGCAATAAAAAAAAAGACTTTAAAATCAAGTGAACGATAATTACTGTAATGTCGTGTTGCGTAACTTATCAATTGGACGTTTATTTTTAATGTGGAAACCGTTTAGATTTTTTTTTTTTTTCTATTATCCACACTCGTAGAAGTTAGCAACGGAACCTAATACACTAGTGAAATAAAAATAAAACATGTTCAAAATTAAATCTTTTTATTCCGTGATTCTGTTCTTTACGCTCGTCTTGTTTGAAGCTTCAATAACATATTAATACTATTAATTAATTATTTAATAAATTTATTACTAACATTAATATTGATAACGGATCCGAAATCTGTCACTTATTATAATAGTAATAAATTTGTCCGTGACAATAACAACTAAATAATTCGAAGGCTCGAATATTGAAAAATATATTATCAATTTATTGTAAATTGTAAATTTATTGTAAATTGAAAACAATAACGATATAATCACAAATAAACATGAGTGAGAGAGAGGGGGATAGCGAAAGAGAGAGGGGGATAGAGAGAGAGGGGGGATAGAGAAAGAGAGAGAGAGAGAGTTGCACAGAGGGGCTTGACGCTCTTTCATTACTTGAAAATTTGTAGGAGTTAAACCGTTAAGGAAATTGGTTGCAAAAATTTGAGCTTGACTAAAAAATAAAATTATATATTTAAAAATTCTACCGATAGCTGCATTAATAAAATTTTATATTATTCCTCGAATACTCTAATTGGATTGGGACTTTTGTTGAGCTTGTAAGTCGCTTATAGTCTGCACGTATTCGGCAGTCGCTTCCTCTAAATCCCTGTCGTTTGTCGAAGCGTCGTTCTCCTGGTTCTGTGGCCCGCCGTCGCGGTCCTGTCTCATTTTTAACTTGAGCTCTCTCATACGTGCTTCAAGTATACGTTCGCGTTTATTTTCTCTGTCGAAGATCTGCAAATTGCATATATAATGATTCTCAGTAGCATTCAGGTGAAGCGTGGAGGTTTTATCGTTTTACCGAGTTTTTTGCTACCTTCGTCATATTATTCGACGGAATACGGTGAAAATGCAACGATGATATTTGACGGCATGCATTATAAATTTCCTTCTCCACATTAGTTTTCTTTTTGTTGTGGATTGTGGTATGATGTAATTTGCCAAGGGTATCCAATTGTTTCTGTTCGGCCTACCTAATTATTCTGATCTGTAATCGGCGGATCTTTAAATTACCGACTGTCGGAGTTTCTAGGCTTTTGATTTTCTTCTTTTACTTGAGAATTTTTTTTTAATGAATCAATAAATTCTTAGAGAAATCTTACGTGTGTCAACAATTGTTTGTCGTTCTTGTCAGCTGTTCCGAGATTTTGTGACAGTTCTGCTAGGTATACAGTGCCTTTGCTGCTGCCGCAAGCGACTAGAAGACCCTAATAGCGGAAGGGGAAACACAGAAAAACGGGTTATTGCGAAAAATAACTGGTAAACAATTTTTAAGACTTGATGCTAGGGTATTTGAGACCGCGCAGTTTCATCGGTTTGAAGGGTAAGAAATAGTTGGAATGCGCTCAAAAGTCGAACATTGTCAAGCCTTTACTATCCCAGGACCCATTTTTTACGTAATCTTTATCGAAGGTACTAAAATACCCCCTCGTGTGGTCGAAGGCGCAGTAAGGGCTCGTCGCAAAGCTGCGCAGTGACAATGGGCGCGCTGCGTCTCCTCAGCAAGTCCCAACAGGACAGGCATCCGTCCCACTGAGTCACAAGCATTAAAGAAAACCTGAAAAATGGAAATACATAATCAGAAATGTAACATAATTTAAAGCAACTATGAAATATGAGGTTTTTGGTTCGGTCTTGTTTTTTTATGTTTGTTACCTCAGAATTCTGGCATATTATAAACAGATCGACAAGAGTCTTTGCAAAGGTTTATAGGTACTTTTAGGTTAATTTTACATAATTTTTAACAAAATCGGTTCTGTAGTTTGATTTTTAACTCGCTTAGGTATCTGAAGAAAAAAGTCATCCAATTTAAACGAAATTGGATTTTTGCTTTACAGCGCGTTTAATTGATGAGTTTTGCTAACGGAGGCTTGGAAGGAAACTTGGCACTTTTATAAGTCTGTACCTACCTAATGGGATTCCATGCGCCATCAGTCAGTTTCGTGCGATGCGAATATGTCCACAAAATAGAGGACTCCCTGCAATCCTCGCTCCAAACCCGAGCTGTCCAATCGCCCACTGTTAAGAAATTCTTGAGGAATGTTGGGTTTCTCTGAAGAGCGTAAACCGGTCCCAAGTGAGCTTCGTACTGTAAAAAAATAGAATAACCCGCCCTTATATAGTTGTGTTTTGGCAGCGACTTGCTTGCTGGCTCACTGAACAGTAGATATGCCTAAAAGACAATTAAAAACAAAACTTTTTATTTGAAGTCTGTGAATGAGTTTTATTTTGCTATATGCACGGCACATTGTTTTGCAAACTTAGTTAAAAAAGTGGATAAGTTGATAATTTGGTTTAGGATCTTGAATCTAGGAACAGCTACTTCAAAAAACCATACTTACTTTAGAGGGAAGTTTTTCTAAGGGATTTTTTCCTTTACGATTTCCTCCGATGACCAAACCAGTTTCAGTGCCAACCATAAATCTATGAAACCGACATTAATATTAGCCATCATAATAAATTGCTAACAAGGCTGCTAAATATCAAAACTTAGAAACACTGAAAACAAATACGAATGGATTTTCTAGCGAAGAAAAATTCTGCCTCGGTACCTACTTGATTTCAAGTGGAAGAATTGGTCATTATTAGGTTTTGAGTATTACATTTAAACAATATCATCACGTGATTTTTAAATACCTAGTTGGTATTGTTGGTTCGTACTCAAGAGCTGAGATCCCGATTGCATTGTCGATATTTTGCGTGTCTGTTGCGGATTTTACAATGTCGATAATCATTGAATCAGTCGGTTCACTCATATTTCGCGTATCCCACCTGAAGGAATAAGGAGGAAAATCACTTAGAAGTTGAAAGTATTGCCTGAAATTCTCGCACGTTACACGTATTATACAATAATATACCTACAGGTTTTTATGATTATACAAAGTTATTACGTTTTAATCTTTAAGCGTCGACATAAATATTTAAAATAGAGTAGTTAATTTATTTATATTATGATAGGTTAGAAAAACTAACTTTTTATATAATGGCACCTGGTAGTTGGGCTGTATCCCTGACTCTTCTGTCTAGGAAGTAACTAAAGAAACTATTATATATGGACTCGAGCGTAATACCTCAATCTATAGTTTATAGCTAATATAAACTACTTTCTAACTTTTAACCATTACCATAATACTTCCTTAGGAAAAATATAAGTCGAACTATTCATGTAGGGCGATATTTAAGCGTAAAAAGTAAAACAAGCGTAGTAGACACGTACCATTTCACAACCCCGTCGGGCGACGAGGAGAAGAATTCTGCTCCGATTTTCGAGTTGATAAACAGAACATTACGAACTATATCACGATGTGCTACGTGCGGAAGACATAGGCCAGCTGGATCTCCGCCTTTCCGAACATCCCACCAACCAACCTTTACAAAAATAATATTATTTAAAATGGTTATTTAAGTATCTTTGAGTTATGCCTCTCTGCATGCATACTTAGTCGTTTTAAGGCCACGTAGCGCCCGTGTGCAATCATTACCTAAGCGCCCTCTAACAAGCGCGTTGTTAAAAAGGAATGGGTACAAATGTTCATTGAAAGTGCCGAAGTCGGGGTCTCCTAACCCCACTGCAACGCATACCCTGCACCATAGGTAAAGCTGCCTCTGACTCCGATATTGAGCTATGTGACTCGGTCACGCAACTATAACGACATTAACATGATTGGAACCCTGTGCCAATTTGAATGTACCATGCGTAAGATTCTTTATCCTGAAAACGATGTACCTTAGTATCGCGAAATATATGCAAATGTTTTACCTGCCCGTTCATCATCCCCCCTACAAGAATATGTTGGTCGCGAGGGTTGTACTGCAAATCCAATAACGGCTGTGGCGGCTTTATTACCAATTCCGGGGCGTTTGCATTCTCTGAAAGTAACGATCAATAATGAATAAAATAATTCGTACTGTTACATTAAAATGTGTTAATAAAGGAAATAGAATTAGGCTAAATAAAACAGGAACTACGATGATCTACTTGTTGCCGTTAGTAATGTTTTGTTAGTGTCCGATGATACTGAGTAATGGATCATTTGTACCGATAACAATTTTTTATTTGAAATGTTCTCCCGCCATTTTTTTACGTTAAAAAATATTTTATTACAAGACCTTTTGGAAATATCAACTTAAAAAACTTTGTTCTATTATTATTATTATTTTTGTGTTATAGCTCATAGACTACTACTAAACTTTAATGTATTATAAACAGATTTGATTTACCAATATCCCAAATGTAAGAAAACTGTGAGCTTCGACAGCTTCTCATTAATTCGACGTCAGCATGAGCAGCTGCAAATCTTGCTCCGCCGTCGGCTTGCCACGACAACGACCGAACGGGCCTCCTGGCTCCAGGCTCTCGGTAGACGTTCACAGTGTGACAACTACTCTTCTCGACCGGAGGTATTTCGGGAACATCAGAGTAATAAGACTCGAACATATCTATAGCGTTGTTCTGAAGGATGTTGTGTTCCATACCCTGAAAGTTACCTTATAATTATTTACACTTCTTGCACACCTTATAGTTGTATTTAAAGTAAATTTGAGATAGATCCTTCAAATTTAGAACATGGTGTTACGCCGGTAAAAGTAACGCCTTTTTAAGTAACGACGTTTTTTCCCGGTGAGGGTATCCCTCCGCATCGTCCCATAAGGAACTTCGTTCCAAAAAGGTTGCGTAACAGAAGCCTACGCCACGGTGCAAAGTACCATGGCATTGATGTCCATGAGCGATGGTGACCACTAGATATACACGTATATTCATTTGCTTTCATAAATGTCACCATCTCACTTTTGAAAATATCTAACAACAGTATTATGTAGATAAAAGATGAAAACTTACATGACCTAAATGCATAACAGCGTGAATATATGCGTCGTCTTTTTCAATTTTACGACGGTAACGCTGAACAGCTTCGGGGTCGTTCATGTTTATATCTTTAGGCCATCCGCCTTCCACGTGATTTATACCAGAACTGGTGTACTCAGCTCTGTCGGACATTAGTACTAACTTTAAAACTGTTTTTGTAGATTTTTTAACATTATGTTTTGCTTCATTTTTACCTGACTGAATTAACCCAGTGCTCGGACATTGTGCCGGTATTTTGGATTCCGACATGCACGGGATTCCTGAGAATGTAATTGTTATAAAGAGCTTGATTGCTGACAATGCTAACCGTCATAATTGGTCCATAGTCTTCGAATAATGTTTGTTTTCCAAAATCACGTCTTCTTCTTGTGTATTCATAAACAAATTCAGTTTTCTCTGGTTTTTCCATGGCTAAATTATCAAGTTTACGAAATAGTGTTAAATCGATAGAATTGGTTACTAAGCTCGTGTGAAGAGGATTTAAAAGAGGATTTCAGGAATAAACTTGATTGTATGTTTATATATGGTTTACCATCTTATAAAATTACGATGTTAATACTAAAGTCCATCTGAATAAATGCAGGTTCGAATTTGCTGTTTCTAAGGGCGATCGTTAAGTTTAAAATTAAAATTGTTTTTGAAATTGTAGAATTACAAGCTGCTTAAAATAGAGATCTCTTTACGAGTGACATAATTAAAATTTATTGTTATAGCACTAAAAAATAATGAAATTATATTCACTAGCCTTCCACCCGTAGCCACGCCTTCGTGGACTATACTTTATATCGCGTGGATAGAAACTCGTGCTCAGCAATGGGATGAAAGTCAGACTATATTCTGTACTATTTTATTATATCTATTAATTACTAGCTGTGTTGGGCAGATGAGCTCAGGACCCATTTGATGTTAAATACTTAACGAAGCCCAACGTATCCTTAAGACATGAGACCGAATTAGCCCACTAAGATACTCGCCGGATTTACTCACTGGGTCGCGTTTCCGATTCGGTGGTAGATTCTACGAAGCACTGCTCTTGCTAGGGTTAATGTTAGCAACGTCTACAGGTTAGAGCCAAGTGAGCTCACCTACTCGCTCGGGGGATATAGTATGATTCCTCGAGGTCACTAGAATAGAAAGGAAAAAAAAACCGAAGTCTCATTTGAATTAGTACGTGGCTATTCAAACTGAGTCAAACTATTATACATAAATGCTTCGTAGCAGAACTAGGCGGGATAATTGTACAAAATAAGGCGGGTTTTCAATGTGCCCTGCCGCTTGTAGTTAGATAGAAACTGAGCCGCGTGCACATTTAGAGGAAACGCGGGCGGTGTTTAGTCTATAGTAGTCTATACTAATGTATTCACACGTTTCCAATTTGAAGGTTTTTTCATATTGTGAAGGATTAAGAAATAAAACAAAATTTTATTAACCATCGCTTCATCGCTTTATTGAGAACAAATTATATTTAAGTTTAAGATTAATGTTTTATGAAGAAGAAAAATCGTAAGAGGTTTTATCAAATGAATATTGTTCGTTTTAAATGGCATTAGTAAAGCGGAATCGGGTCGGCTTGCGTGGCTCTCTTCAAAGCTAAAACTATGAGGCGCGGCGGTGAAGCAGCAATTCTCACTATGCATTGTTCTAACAATATTCTCCAGCGTATAGCTGCTCTATCATCAGAACTCATACTTTGCAACTGCTCACCCTATAATTACGACAAACAGTAGAATATAATATCTAATAGAACTACAATATTCAAAAATGTAAAAAAGTCAGTGCTGTAGTTAGGAGTCGTGATACGACAATATTAAAAAACCGATACTGCCGAATATTTATCTAAGTACATAGGTATATGAAAATACATATTATTATCATGTTCCGATAGCTAAATATTTTGTTTCCAACACATACCTAGTACTGTTTGAGGTTTGATAATTCTTGTACAACCTGCATTTTGAAAATGTGCATTTATAAATAGTTTTTCGGAGAATTTCCAAATGTGTTGTTTAATTTTACTACTTATTGAAATAATATCATCGGAACACGATTAAAACAGCCGAGCCTACGGTGATGGAATTTTATGAGGGAAGCGTAAATTTAGCAGTGAACATCTTGCGACTGATTTCTGATGATTATGAGGAATACCTTATAAATATTGGTTCTTTTCAAATGAATTTGACAGCACCAGTGGTATGCGGTAGCTTAGATGTGTTCTTGTCATTTCCATGCTTGCAATTTATAAAATCGTACAGTAACTAAATACAATAGCTAAATTAAGTTTTTTTTTATTGCCCTTGTAGGCAGGCGAGCATACGGCCCACTTGATGGTGAGTGGTCACCGTCGCCCACGGACTTCAGCAATGCCAGGGGCAGAGCCAAGCCGCTGCCTACTACAATAATGTAAGTGAATGAGTAGAAACAAATATTGTGTAAATAAAGATATCTTGTTATCAAAATGCTTACGGAACATCCTATAGCGTCTTCCAGAACGTTTATTGGAAGACGTGCAGTAAGTTCACCGGTGTGGTCAGTAAAACGTACTTTTAAATCATCGGTATTTTCGTTCCTAAATAATATAAAATTTATGTTTATAACATATACACGGCTGGCGGTGGGGCGTGCTGTGAGTATTGAGGTCGATGTCTCATATTGTTGTTTAACGGCTGTTCCATCTAATAAACTGAAACGCAAGATTGCTTTACGACAGGAATGTGTAGGATACCCACAGGTACACTCACAATATTTGTCACCAATAATATCATAAAAATAAAAGGTTACACCGATTGAATATGTAATTATTATATCTATTGCATAGACGGGTGAACGAGTTCACGGCCTCCCTGGTGTTAAGTGGTTACTGAAGCCCATAAACATTGCAATGTGAATGCCGTCGTTTACTTCTAAACACTTTACGTACATATACTTAGTCATTACGCAAAATAGTTTTTTGCTGGTTCGATTTTTATTGCTAGACGTTATTCCTTAAACGCCGTCTGTTCATGTTCATTTACATGATAAACAACTTAATATTCACTATTTGATATACTTAGATATGTGACTTATTTTAGAGAAACCTATTTTTGGCTTGTTAGGTCACATTTTTTACTGGTGGTAGGACATCTTGTGAGTCCGCACGGGTAGGTACCACCACCCTGCCCATTTCTGCCGTGAAGCAGTAATGCGTTTCGGTTTGAAGGATGGGGCAGCCGTTGTAACTATACTGAGACCTTACAACTCATATCTCAAGGTGGGTGGCGGCATTTACGTTATAGATGTTTATAGTTAACACCAGGTGGACTGTGAGTTTGTCCACCCATCTATGCAATAAATAAATAAAACGGTATGTACACAGTGGCGGATTTACCATAAGGCCCGCTAGGCCCGGGTTTAGGGCGGCCAGATTTAGAGGCAGCCCCAATCGTGTCAAAAAACTTATTATAACGTATGGCGGGCCGACTGCACTGCATGGTGCAATCTATACGGCATAAAAACTAAATTTTTTTCCTAAATTTCTAAATCTATTTAGATAAAAGTTGGCAATAAAGTAATTTCATTGTGTAGTCTATATGATGGATGCTGAGAAAGGGGCGGCTGATGGCTTGGGGCCTAGGGCGGCCGAGACTGCAAATCCGCCACTGTATGTACACTCTATTTAACAAATGTAATATAAGAAATTTTGATCTTTAAATTGTTATCGTCGATTTATACCATAATAATACCTATGTCGTTTTGGATGATATTAGGTAGTTTATGTTACGTGTAGAAAGGTAAAATAAAATTCTTGTACATTTTATTGATATCTTCTAAGTCCAAATTCGTTAATAACGCATGTAGAGCTGCACAGAATGGAGCACCGGTGCTCAGTCTGTCTTTGACTTGAGCGACGGAGGCGGCGCACGCCTTCTCCCCACTCCAGGCGGCCCATGCCGCTGCTTCTCCCCCACCTAAGAATCTTTTATGTAAGTTTTTTTATTTACTGCCCTTTTAGGCAGACGGGACCGTATAGCCCACCTGATGATGATTGGTTACCGTCGCCCATGGACTTCAGCAATGCCAGGGGCAGAGCTAAGCCGCTGTCTACCGTTAAGTACTCTCCACAAGCCTCGTTTGAAGAAGGTCGTGTCATAGCGCTCGGGAAGCACCGTGGAGGGGAGCTCATTCCAAAGCCGGATAGTACGTGGCTCTTTGTTCGTGGCGTTTGTGGTTCATGGCGTTCCTCTTCGATTAAGTTGAGAATGAGCATTTGTTTGAAAGTTAATGATATGATCCATACGCGGGGTTATTTTACCGATTAGGTGAAGGATTTACCAATTTTGTTTAAACCATAATCCCCCATAATTCAGTTTACAGTTATTTACCAGTTAGACCAAGGATGTCCAATTTTGCTCAAACCGTAAACCCTCGTAATTCAGAAACAGTTAGACGTGAAAAGGCTGAAAGGAAGTCCAATGGATGCAACCATGACAAAAAATATTAGGTAATGTCAAGTCGTGCATTGCGGAACACTTTGCATAAATTTTCAAAGTGTAGCAGCTAGAAGCAGTTTGCATTCAATTTACCTTCAATGCGTCAATTCGGAGCCGCAATTATTTAAGTTTTCAATTTGCCTGTCAACTTCAAATCTTGACTGAACCCAACTTCACAAGTAGGCCAAAGTAAAAGGACCACAGACATATAATTAAACACAACGTTAAACAAACAAACAATTCCTTACGTGTGCTAGCTTGATTTTGGATATAAAGCCGCAAAGCTTCAGCATCGGCCGTGTGCGGTTGATGCGTTATAACGCTTCGAGCACATATTTGCGCTTTCACGGCCTTCCCACGCCAAGACACCCTGGCGTCGGCTATGAAAAGCACGCTCTCCAGCGGCCGCCAATCTTCAGCTCTGAGTTTGTATGGGTTTTTACAAAACTGTACGATTTATATCATTGAAAATATAAACCAAAAGCATGGGGGCGTTCATTAATTACGTGAGGTGTTCTAGGGGGGAGGGGATCAAGGTAAATCTTTCCAAATCTCCCTTACGGGGGAGGGGGGGGGGGCTTAGCAAATATAACATTTTTTTTCTAGCAGTAAACGGTGTAAAATTGCATGAAAAATTATTTGTATTATTTCTAGCATAAAATATGGACAAATTCGACACAATAGTGTTTGTCGTATTAGTCCGAATCCCGCAGAGCAGCAAAGTAACGCTCGATTTGTCTAAGCCCTATCGACACGTGCGAATCGCAGTCGTCTTTAATTAGTTTTATGATTGTGATTTTAAATTACGGTAATATTGATAAATACTAGTATACCTACTATATTTGCTAGTCTTCAATAAAAGTAATAAAACAAGTTGTTTTTTTATTTTATTTTTTCTCAATAATCCAACTCGTTTATACAGCCTAAACATAAATTTTGAAGAATCTCGCGTGAGATAAGAGGAGGGGGAGAGGGTTGAGGAATTTCTTATGAAATCTCACCAAAAGAGTAGAGAGAGCGAGAAAATTCTCAATAATGCCTCACGCAATTAATGAAATGGTATGGTGTGCTCTTACGGGCATGTGTTTGTACTATACTCTTAATTTCTTTGTGTTTTATCTAATTAAAAAAAATGTAGGGTAATAAATGAAACAATGTTCTGCAATCGACGATCAGTCGCTAGTACGATTCAGAATATGGGTGTCGTTAATACTGCCTATTTTTATTCGATTTTAATGTTGATACAATTGAAACTTCGATCGTTTGTCTCAAGATGCCCCAAGATTGAGCAAGAATGTTTCGATGTGTGTGGGCTCTAGTAAGCACTTTACACCAGACTGGCCGTGAGCTCGTTCACCTTTCTACGCAATAAATACTGTGTGCGTAGTGCGAGTTTCACGTCATTACGGATCCTCCTGATCCATTAACGGTGCTTTTAGGCACCACAAGCACCGGTCACCGTCCTCGTCGAACCCGTCGCTTGCGACGAAGGGCTCGACGAGCGAATTAACCCACAGACACAGCCCACTGAGTTTCTCGCCGGATCTTCTCAGTGTGTCGCATTTCCGATCCGGTGGTAGATTCTGCGAAGCACTGCTCTTGCTAGGGTCAGTGTTAGCAACTCTCCGGGTTGAACCCCGTGAGCTCACCTACAAACGTTAGGGTGAAGCTGAAATAGCCTCTCAAGGGTATCAGCATATGTAGGAAAAAAAAAATAGTGCGAGTTTTTTAACGTTCTCGATAGCGTAAAAGTTAACTCTGATTTGTATGTAGTTGAAACGTTTGCCTACGTTTGCCGCTAGGGCCAACTGCATAAAAATTAGAGTTAACTTTTACGCTATCGAGAACGTTAAAAAACTCGCACCAAGCACACTGATGTCGGAGCTGTTGAACGTGTCAAGTTTGGATTTAGTTTATCATTAATTAGTTTAAGCCCGTAGTCATCTATGCAACTAACCTTTGAATGGTATCCGCATCAAACATGTCCAAGGTGACAGCAGCAGGTGTTGTGTTATCTATAACTTCAATTGAACGAATGGACATTTCCGTACCTACAAATTACGGAAGCGCTGCGTTTACAATATGATCGTAGAAAGCTGATTGCAACGTAGTCTGGCTGCGGCCTTGGTATCATAGATAATATACCTACTTCATATTTAAGACCTGGTTTGCTGATGACGAAGACCATAGAAACAACATTAACGTTTACCCCCTCTTACCCCTGAAACGTCATCAGTTGACATTAGCAGTAGACAACTTTCATTCGTGCTCACATTTCAATACATTTCTGATTTGTTTTCATGTGATGAATGTTAGAGTGCCAATTTTTGTACAGTTTACTCAGTCTAACGATATAGCATTCCGCAGATAGCTTCACCCGTGTGGTTCTTCGCCCACTTTATATTATTTTGACAGAAACCTGTCCCCAGTGGTGAGAAAAAAAGCCTATGTTCTTTCGTAGAAAAAATTGGATGAGTTGTGTGAGCTTGAAAACGTAATAGACAAACGATTTTGTATTTATATTACTAGCGTGGTCAAAGGAAATTTATCAGGGTAGGTTTCTAGGGGCATGGTGTGTAATATGAAACAGACTACATAATATATTAATTTACAATGAAACGTTCTACATTCGTTGAGGCTAGTAAACATACTTTTTTTATTACCTACCCGTTTTAGTTTTAATCTTCTTGGCGGACATCACACTCTTTACTACAACGAGGAGATCTACGTAAACATTATTGGCTTCTTCTGCAAATGAATTTTTGGATGATGAATGTATGATTTATTTGTTTAAAGCTAATAAATGCGTAGTAGAAACAATAAATAACCTGGAAGCTTGAGTACTTCGGCGAGCCCATAGTATGCAGATGAATGCTTTGAAGGTATGTGGAGGAGTGGCAAATAAGAGCTTTGCATGTCGCTCCCATGTATACTCACATCTGAAGCGCCCTCGTTTATTGAAAGGTAGAATGGCGACGATACCTTGAATTAAAAATTAACTATTAGCGACTATACGAGTACATCAAACCTGTGTCTTATTGAGATTTGAAAAAAATGCAAGTTTTTTAATATTGAACATATTATGATTAATTAACTAAAAGGTTTTAGGATTCGCTCGTAAGATTGATTATTTTATTGTTGGGATGGCCAATGTTCTCACGGCTCTGGTGCTGGATGGTAACCGGCGGAGGTGTCTTATCAATCCACTGAGTTTCGTTCAAATAAATACGTTATTCATTACAAGTATTTAAGTTTAAAATAATTTCCCTTCACTTGATTTTAATGAGTATCTCGCTATGAGTATTTTAATGAGTATGAGAAGATATCGTAGTTTTAAAATAACATTGAAGCAAAATAATGATCAAGTGCGTAATATTGAGGTACTACAAGGCGCGGGCCGGCCGTTGTGCGACAGCACAGGATATGAAGAATAACAAGAAACACCTAAATCACTTCAAGATAGGCTTTGAAAATTATAGATTTTTCTAAATTTCTCCAGGATCCCATCATCAGATCTTGATGATTACAGGGCCACTCGTCTACCCTTTCGAACAAAAAAAGAAAAATGAATTGTCAGAATCGGTTCAAGCATTCTTGAGAAATCGGTGAACATAAATAGATAAAAATTGGTGGTCGGTCCAGTCATCGTTCTAGTCGAACCTGTCGCTTGCGACGAAGGGCTCGACAAGTAAATTAACCCTCCGACACAGCCCACTGAGTTTCTCGCCGGATCTTCTCAGTGGGTCGCGTTTCCGATCCGGTGGTAGATTCTGCGAAGCACGGCTCTTGCTAGGGTTCGTGTTAGCAACGTCATTAGGTTTGAGCCCCGTGAGCTCACCTACTAGTTAAGGCGACGTTGATAGGTATAGCCTCTCAAGGCTATCAGCTTAGGTAGGAAAAAAAAGAAAAAAAAAGGTGGTCGGATTGATAACCTCCTCTTTTGAAGTCAGTTAAGAAGCGTGATTTTGGTACCTTAAATAGCTCATTAACATTCTACTATTCAAAAATGTTTTCACTTTCCACGTAAATGAAGTCGCGGGTAAAATTTAGCGTTATGCCAAAGTAACTATTCCACGCGGACAAACTCGCGGGCAAATGTTAGCTATTTACTAGTTTGATTAAGTAGGTATTTATTATATTATTTCATGTCGAATACTTTAGTTTTCATGAATAGCTTACCTGAGGTCTGAAATTTTCATTCTCACCAGTTTTAATGCATATCTTGGGTGCAGTAATTTCTACTGCAAGAAAACAATTTAAAACAGGATTTAAAATAGGGTTTTGATTTTATTATTTTAAGATGTTTACAGATAAGTACTAACCAATGTCACCAACGAGAAAACGTTCATAGAAAGTAAACACAAAGTATTCCAAACCCCACACATCAATATTGATTGTATCGACTTCTGAATCTCTCAATGTGAAAGATGTAACGGCTCTAGATTCCCCATTTTTTCTCCGTGAACTGATGGTACGAGGACTATTTTTAGCTATTATGATACCCAATATTAGTGCATTTTTTTGGTTAATATTTAAAGCATTAAGGCAAACTTTTTGAACTCCAGCCATACTAATATTTAAATAGACCACCACAACAATAAGGAGAGTTAAAATTTGTATTAGTTGATTAGATTAGTTTGTCTGGTACGTAGGTAGGTAGGTATCCTTATATAATATTTTTGAAATAAATTTGGCGCTTAAAACTGCTTTCATAAGTTGCATTTTCCACTTTAATGGGCGAAGGGGTCATAGTCTATAAAACCAGGTCAAATGTAAATGTGTCCCGAAAACTTAATTTAAACTCACTTAACACGTTGAACGCCACATGAAAAAAATCGATATTTTCATTCAGGCCACGTTGCTCACCGGTGAGCTTTATCTTACTGAACCGTTCGGGCCATTAGGAGTCACCTGTGAGCCGCGTGAGGGTTACAACGTAAACGTAAACGCTTCCTACAAGCCACAGATTGCACCAATCAAACAAAATGGAAGTGAGCCGCGTGGCCCTTTAGCCTAGCCGAACGCGTTGGTTTTCAAATCCAATAGAAAGTTGTAGTTTTTATCAAGGTATCTTAAAATATCTTATAAACTAGACGGTGATTTTTATCATCCGTGGAAATTATTGCATTTTATGAATTTTAGAATTAAAATCTCAAGTTGATAAAATTACTCATTTCTGATTTTAGCTTGGCCCAAATGGTATAGTACGTTAGCCCACCGGTGGGCTGCATTGCGTACAACGTGTTGTTTTAAATTAAGTGTATTATCTATGGTTATTAAACTTATTTTAATAGGACTTTTTGGCGGGAACGCGAGGAGTGAAGTTGTGTGATTTGTTTTATTTTGTCTATTTAGTGTTTTTTCAGGTTTAAATGTGTAATAACGGTGGTTTATTAACTGTTTAGTATCTGTGGAAGTGCACAAATGTGGGAAAATAAAATAAAGCCACTGAACGTAGCTTCTCGGTATCCTCCAAGAAGTCCACTGAAAAAATCTTAGTAAGTGACCACCATTTTACTGAGATTATATTTCATCTCATTTCATTTAATTTCATCCTAGTTGATTAATGTCTCAAATTAATCATCTTCATTTCATTTAATTTCATTTCACTTCACTCCTTAATATAATTTTTCATAAAAATAAGAATATACATTAAAATAAGATATGACTTAAAAGTCTTAGTTACCAGGTCATAAAATCCCTTTAAAAAAAGCGGCAAATTAATGAAAAAATAACTGAAGCTAAAGAAGAAATTATTAAAAGTCTGGGGAAGGTCTAAAAAAACAAGTGAAGTGAATAAATTAATAAGTCGAATAGCTAAGAGAGGAAATTCATTCACAACATAAACTTTAGCACCAATAAGATGCTTTTAAAAGTATCGCCGAAATCAACAGCAGATGAGGAATTCTCTTCCCATGATCTAGAGAGACAAATTGTTGACTACACTGATAGTTCTACACGGTTTTATGAAGCACCACGAGATTTTTCCAAGCAGTACGCCCATATATATTCAGCTAGGTTATGTACATTCCGAAATATTTTGACTCCGCTGATAAAAAATAAGTGGTCAAATAAATACAAGATTTTAAAGCTTTGTGATTTACGTGAAAGCGGTACCTCTTGTGTTATAATTGGAACACTGTTCAAACTGCAAGAATTGAAACCAAGCATTCTGAAAGAGCTTTCAGATCAGCTTGAGATTATACCACAACCAACTAGGTAAATTGGACTCTACATTTAATAAAATGCTGTTTAATTAAAAGGTAAAGTTGAAATATTAAAAATTCTATCTTTTAGGACTCATTTCGTCCATGATTCCGATAGCCTTGTGTTAGAAGATGAATTGCAAAGAATCAAACTTGTAAGCGATGTTATAGATATCCATCAAGTAGTCACTGGAGTTGTATGTGCAATTTTAGGTATTTCAAATCCTTAATCATCTGTTCTATGCTATGATGATTGAAATAAAACACTAAAGTTTATTTTCATTATAGGATCTGAAGATGAGGATGGTATATTTACTGTTAAAGATGTCTGTTGGCCTGGTTGCAGTATACAAAAACCACTTCCAGTTAGAAATGAAGACAGGTTATTTCATCAACTTATATGCTGGATAAAAATCACTGTTGCTAAAGGTTCACATAGAGTGTGTAACAAAATAAACTACATACCCTTAATTGATTTTTTTCCTGTCTAGGTACATAGTACTTATGTCGGGCTTAAATATGGCATCAAAGTCTGCAGAACAAATGTTGTCCTTGCACTTATTTTTGGAATGGATATCAGGATTAGCAGGCACATCTTATTATCAAGAAGAAGTTTCTAAAATTGTACGAGTTATAATAGCCGGTAAACTATAAGCTTAAAAGTTAAAATTGTTCATGTTTAATTACCAATTTTTCTAAGAAATTGTATGAAACTCCATTAGTGTTTTAAAGTTATTTCTTTGGGCATAAATAACATTTAATAATCAAGTAAAAACTTATAAATAGATAAAATAAATAAATAAAGTAAGGATTTAGAAGTATATTGTGTGCTGGCTTGGGAAGTTACTAACTCTGTTTCTGGGTTGTAGTGTAACAAAGTCACCAAATATATTATAATCGAGATTTTAATCATCTAAAGTAGTGACTATTCAAACCAACGACATACCATGTTGTTGGTTTGAATAGTTGTGTTACATGGCAGTTAACTTTAATAGGAATAATCTATGCATGCATGATTTACTTTGGTAAACAGAGAGGAGTGCCGAAACGGAGAGCAACAAGCACTGTCAGCAAGTTCAAAATGTTAACAAACTTATATTAATTTGTACACACAAAAAATACATATTATAGAACAATATAAACTAACTTAAACAAATATTAACACAAAAAGTAAATTACGTAAAATGTTTAATTCCTAGGTGGAGTGTTTGCAAATCATTCAGATGAAAGTGTTCTAAATGAATCGGATGTCATATCATCAGCAGAATTGGTGGATTCATTGGCAGCAGCTATTAGTGGTGTGGCTCCTTTAGATATAATGCCAGGATGCAAAGATCCTAATGATGTAATGTTACCACAAAAACCTTTTCATTACTGTAAGTATCCATTTTATCCATAGGTTAGCTTAAAATTATCATTACTTAACAATTTTACCAGGCTTTTTCAGAACAAAATTGCTATTTAATGCTGGAAATTAAAGAATTTACACTCATAATCATCTTATTATAGGTTTGTTCCCTAAAGCTACTGAATACAAATCGTTCCGCCGTGTTTCTAATCCTTATGAATGTGAAATAGGAGGTAAGGATCATTGCTAGCCATTATGAAAATATATCATTTACTATTACTGTTAACTGAGGAATTTGGTTGAAACATATAATTATTTATTTTAGGGTTGTTATGTTTAGGTACTTCAGGAGAGCCAGTAAAGGATATAATGAGATATAGTAAATTAGATAATAGTCAAGAGGTACTTAAAAAAACATTGGAATGGAGGCATTTAGCACCAACATGTCCTGATACGGTACCTTGTACCCCAAGTGTGGATACAGATCCATTTATTATTTATAACTGTCCAGCTATTTATTTTAGTGGAAATGCTGATGAATTTGGAACTACCTTATATGAAGGTTTGAAACATTCTATAAATAAAAAATTCTTGGCAATATTCCCTTAATAGAACAAGAAATTTAAAAACATAATTGGTTTCAGGAGAAGAAGGGCAACGCATCAGAATAGTATCAATTCCAGATTTTTGTAATACTAAATCGATAGCAATTATCAATTTAGCAAATTTGGAATGTTACAGCATGAGTTTTTCTTGATTTTCATATAATTTGGAATAAATTGATTAAGTGCACAAATTTATTATATCAGTTTTCAGTATAGCTATTTAAACTAAAACCTTTAATACAATTGTTATTAAATATATCGGCGCAATCCTGCTATTTCGTTAAAGTTAACTGTTTCCTCAATGTTGAAATTGTTGGTTAACGTTATAAGCCCAACGCAAGTCAACAAATGCTTAAGGCTGTATTTAGGAAAATGAACAAATTACCCTACGGTTATAAACGAGCTACTTTTGTCGCACAACCAGTGTGACCAGATTTCATTTGACGAATCAACTGCTTGTGGAGGTTAAAATTACTGAATTCTACCAAAAAAGAACGAAAAATACTAAAAATCTATTAGTATATTTTTTTGCTGTCGTGTTACAACGTAAAAACATGAATGTTTCCATGATTAAAAAATAAAATAATTTCAATTAACAAAGAAACTGTTAATCAAATCACTGTTTTTTTTAAATTAAATTCTAAATAATATGATTCAAAAATAAAAATAATAAAATGAAACTTTTCTTCATCTTTATGTTGGGTAAAACTTTCATAAAGTAGTTTTGAATCCATTAACTCGATAATACTTCTGTCAGGATCAAATCTGCGACATCCTCCTTCCAACTGTCGTAGCCCCTCTTATCCAGGCATTATTGCAGCAACATTCTTATTATTAAATCGATTTTGATCTTGATTTTTAATCCTATTAATATCAGAAATTATTCTTTCTACTTTGGCGTTCGACAAAGGTAGTATGGTCAATTGCTTCATAAATCGGAACAAATTGCCATACCTTGGTGTGCTATTCCCATCACAGATTTGGCGGACTTCACTCCACTTATCCACCATAAAAGCATCTGACGTCGAATTAGAAGTTGATATTAAATTAGACACGGAAACATCTATAATATAATTTTAATTCCCTATATTATTTGTCAACAATTTGCATGTTTTCTGTTGCAACTACAAGATATCGTGATGAAGGGGACATTGCGATATCCTTGTGTATATTTATGTTTAATTTTAAACTTGATTGTAAAAATTCTCAATGAAGGAATTTCCGCTAGTCTATCACACTATACTCACGGAACGAATGGTAAGGAAAAGAATAAAAATTTATTAGTTACAATCCATTCGATGAAAGAAGGAATAACCCGAATTTATCTGTTATGCCAAAAAAGTACTAGAATAGTTGAAAAGCGTGAATTCTACTAAGATATGCCAAATATTTTTTACATACTAAATTCTGTTGCCAGTACCTCAAAATCTACCAAAAAAGTAGAAATCTACTAAATCTGGTCCCGCTGCGCACAACACCATTCCCGGTCCCACGGACCGAATGGTAAACAGTCGACGTCGCCCAAAACACGTCATTTCGGATCCTCCGGATCCATTAGCGGTGCTTTTAGGCACCTACCCCAAGCACCGGTCATCGTTCTCGTCGAACTCGTCGTTTGCGACGAAGGGCTCGGCGAGTAAACTAACCCACAGCCCACTGAGTTTTTCGCCGAAGCTGCACAAATGTGGGAAAATGAAACAAAGCCGCTAGACGTAACTTCTCGGGATCTTCTAAAATGTCCACTGAAAAAGTCTCAGTAAATGACGACCATTTTACTGAGATTATATTTCATCCCATATCATCTAATTTCATTTTATTTTCATTTCATTTCATGTCATCTTCACTTCACTTCATTTTATTTCATAATATGTATCATTTTTCATTTAAAAAAGTTTTCATTCAAATTAAAATAAGATTTGACCTAAAGGTCTTAGTTACCAGGTCATAAAATCCCTTAAATAAAAAAATGTATTATCTATGTCTATTACTCATTTATGGCTCGCAGTTAACAGACGTATTTTTGTTTTTTCGTATAATTTTGCGATCACGATGGGTTTCTAGTATCTAATCGTTTGCACACCAGCGTGTGCCTTCACGCACAATATAAAAATGCTGTAAGTATTTTTGATCATACTGTATTACGAAATCCCAGTGCAAAATTACCGAACGGTAAGTTGTAATAGTTCGTAGAACTTTAAAGGATTTACGATGTCCTAAACATTTATTAGCTACATTATTTATGAAGGGTACACTATGCGGATAGTCATTTAAAAAAATAGGATAAGAGGAGATTCAAAGACAAAAAAAAACAAATAGTGTTTGCACAACTTTCACTTGGTTGCGCGAGGACCTATTCATTACGCTTCTGCATTCCAAGCTCGAATTGACCCATACTGTAAGTTCATTCCCCCCTTAGTCTATAGTAAAAGTTGTTTAAACTGTAATAAGAATATTGGGTTTATTTGGAAGCATAAAGCTTCATTCTACTTGTATCAACACCTCTATGTATATTATGTATAATGTATTGTAATTACACAGTGATGTCAATATTTTATATTATTTAATAAATAAATAGATAGAGAAAGTGTATTATTAAAAGTTTTTAACTGTTTGTTTGTTCATATTTTCATTCAGGTAGTTAGATTTATCAAAACAAAAACTTAAATATATTTAATATATATTATCATATTATTTTAAATATCTATATTAATTTTATGAATTTTATTAAAAGTACTTTTGTAGTGTTACAATTACATACAATAACTTAGACTGGGTTTACTTTTCTAAATTTTATATTTCACACAAAAACAAACTACATAAATACATTACTTACATGTACTTACATGTACATACATACATTACTACATAAACACTACTACTAAACATTACTACATAAATGAGACTTACAACAGAGTAGTAGAGATAAACACAGTTACAAAACAAATTACCTAACCATAAATTGAACATGTCAAAATTTCTTAAGGCTACTAAAATGTTGACATCATTGATTTGTACACACAGATTACTTGTTTTGTAACATGCACTGAGTGACTTAATTTAAATGTATGAAATCTGAAAGGAAACATTTAAATACATATGTGAAACATTATGTGTGAAACCTTTGAACTGTTGATAACCGGATTCCGGTTGCAACAAGATATGCGTGAACTGTTGATAACCGGATTCCGGATGCGAATAGTCCGGAATTTGGACTCTTAACAGAAATTCTACTATTATGTTTTATTCTTTCTAACACATTTAGTACTGTACCTAATGAATAGAAATTGTTACAGTTGTTTGGTTATTTTAAATTTATTGAGCAGAAATTATGTACAATGATTATTTTTAAGACTCAGGTCAAAATACCAGCCCTATGTGTAACACTTTAAATAGATCATAAAATGTGGTTATTCATGAGAGCTTACTGGTTGGCTAACCCTACCCAGATGGGCAGAGATCTGGCTAATATTACCACAGCACTTTAAGTCATCAGTAATATCCTATGTAGTATCAACAAATAGTATACTCTCTATTATTATGTCTTTTTTAACTGACTTCAAAAAAGGGGGAGGTTCTCAATTCGACTGTGTTTTTTTTTATGTTTGTTACCTCATAACTCTTGACTGGGTGAATAGATTTTAATGATTCTTTTTTATTAGAAAGCTGACGCTTCCCGTGTGGTCCGATTTCAACTTAGTCCAGTTCAGATAATGGTATCCACGAAAAAACCATATAAATCTTAAATTTTCATTGAGTATGTGCGTGACAAATAGATGAATAACTCAATATCACGCCAACTGATTTTGATTATTATTGTTTTTAGTGTATATTAATTTGTTTTGGAATATCTTTTTTTTTCTATTTGAAGTCAGTTTTTGTTAAAACATGTCTATTTATTTACCTCTATATATCTCTTCAATTTCACTGTTGTTAAGCTAACATTTATTGTAAATCTGCATAAGTGGGTTCCACCTTTATATATTTTTGATGTAAACCTTTATCTATTTTGGATGTAAAGATCTGGGCGGAAGGGTAGGTTAGCTATCCCATTATATCATTGAGACTTTTGCCACATGTTTCAAGGCTATTCACGGCATTTGTTGTCTATGGGTCCGGTAAGTACATGCTAACACATGCTCCTTAGAATATAAGTGACATGATGACTAGAGGGCACCAAGTCTCCACCCAAATGTTTCAGTATATGATTATTTCATAATTTCTATCATTATTCTCTAAATTTTAGAAAATTTAAATGCGCCATTGTAACCTATTATTTCATTTTACAGTGCCAAAATGGCGCCCTCACAGGACAAGTTAGTCCATCTTCACAAAACACCAACATCATTAGACATCAATCCCTCTGGACTTTTATTCGCATTCGTGGTTTGTATACTTTATATTAATGTTTTTCATCAGTCTAAATGGTAAAAAATTCAATATAGCTGAAAATATTATAATTATTACTACTTAATCTGATTTTTGCTACACTGATCTCAGTTCTATAAGTACGTACTATAGAAGCGATTGCTTATTTTCTGAAAATATGCATTGTCGTTACTAAGTAATCACACACTACTAAGTGGCCATGATTACTCATTGAGCTGTAGGTAACGCAGACAATTACCGAGTTTCCGATAAGAACTAGAGTGTAGGCACTCATTAGAATAATGACATGTTTTGGTATTGCAGCAGCACCATTTAGGGTTAGGGAAAAATAATCCAGGGAAGAGCTTTGATAGTCTGCCACGTCTGTAGAAAGGATTCTTCTCTGATGGTAGGTGGTGATGGTAGAAAGAAGATAATATGAGGAGAAAATATTGCCAAACAATTCATCAGAGCATACAATGTGGACTAAATCACAGGGAATTAACCTTGTGCCAAATAAAAGAGTTAGTCCTTCTGTACATCTAGATTAATAAAAAAAACATGAGATGGTTATTGGGCTTATTTATTTCACATAATATAATTAAAATTCATAATTTTATGATCATAACCAATGACATGGTCTAAAATTGTGACTGATGGTATGAAGGGCATGTTGATAGTGTGGGCAGCACTCACCACCAGATTTTTGTCAAGAGCATCCCCCTGGTTATTGTTGTGCAACTTTTTTTAATTATTTGAATGGCTCAAATCTGGCATTTTATTTGTCAACAGGCCAGATAGATTAAATACCAGATAGGTTTAAAAAAGTTTTGAATTTTTTATTTGTTTTAAACATTTACAAAAACATGCAATTTTCTATATAAAAGTGCTAAAATTGTATACCTTGTTATTCTAGGAACTAAATCATTACAACAATGAGTGCGAGTCAGAAGGAGTCATGGGCTGCGGCCATCGATTTGCTCACTAACGATGAGTGCCGTTTGCTGCTCGAAGTTGAGGATTTCTTCAATGATGAGTGTGGTGTGTATTGTTTTACAAAATGTAGTACGTAAATTTTGCAATAGAAATAGTATTAGACAAGGCTCAAGGTACTCAAGTGATTACCAATAAAAAACATTTCTATCAGTACAACTACTCCTATTAAATATATATAAAATTTTAGTTCCTATTACTGTTTCATCTCGTACATTATTTTCATTTTATATAAGTTTCTGCTAGAGTTTCATACAAGTTTCTGCAAGTTTTATACAAGTTTCTGCTAGAGAGTTGGAAGTCGTCGTGGCCTAAAAGATAAGACGTCCGGAGCATTCGTGTTGAAGCGATGCACCGGTGTTCGAATCCCGCAGTACCAATTTTTCTAATGAAATACGTACTCAACAAATGTTCACGATTGACTTCCACGGTGAAGGAATAACATCGTGTAATAAAAGTGAAACCCGCAAAATTATAATTTGCGTAATTAATGGTGGTAGGACCTGTTGTGAGTCCGCGCGGGTAGGTACCACCGCCCTGCCTATTTCTGCCGTGAAGCAGTAATGCGTTTCGGTTTGAAGGGTGGGGCAGCCGTTGTAACTATACTGAGACCTTACAACTTATATCTCAAGGTGGGTGGCGCATTTACGTTGTAGATGTCTATGGGCTCCAGTAACCACTTAACACCAGGTGGGCTGTGAGCTCGTCCAACCATCTAAGCAATAAAAAATAATAATAAAAAAAGTTCAGTAGCACATTGTCTTTAGTTTGTCAACATTCTTTCGGTAATTCTAACCATTTCATGACATTTAACAAAATCGAACTAATTGTCTAAATATCTTTTTATGGCGACGATGAAACACAAACTCAAATCAGACCTTAGAAATATGATTAGTCCTTTCTCTGTTTAGACAAATGTTAATGTCAATAATATTAATGAAAATAATACTCGTGCAAGTTATTACTTATACAATATTAATGGTAGCTTTCAAATATTCAAATATGAATGAATAACGAACAACTTAGTTGAAAATGGCCACGAAAACTATACTGTATTTCAAGAGAACGGATATTATAAAACGACCACAAGTAACCCTAATGATCAACTCATATCATGTTTTAATTATATCTTCGACTCGCCAAAACCGATGAAAATACTAAAATACTCCTATTATTTTTATTATAGCAATGCGACTGCCTTGAATTTATAAGGAATATCATCACATATTCACCAAACCTTTTTCGTATGATTGTTGTGTATTTTTTGTAGCTATATAAAAACAATTGTAAATTACAACATTTATATAAATCTCATCTATCATTTAGAAGGTATTCAGGTCATATATAAGGTCATTTGTTATTGAATATTGTAAGCGGTATACTTTATGAATGCTACGTAATCTGGCACCATTGCTGGGACCAAAACGTTCCTGAGTGGCAACCGCGCAACGGAAATCGCAGTGGATTCAGACCTCTCACGAGAGGGACCTACGGCTGGCTGAGGCTCGCGGGAAATCGTTCGATTTCGGCTGCTCAAAACCGATTATTTTGGCGAATCTTGGGGCAGGTCGTATGTTTAGCAGTGGACGTTTGTGAGTTGATGAAGACTCAATGTTGTATTAATAGATGACTGGCAGTAGGACGTATTGTAAATCTGCACTAACATGCCTATTTTTGCCGCGAAGTGGTCATGCGCTATGATTTGAAGGATGGGCCAGCTATTATACAATACAATTGAAAAATCGACTGCGTGACTCAAGATATAATGTAGTTTGGAGGTATACGACAAAAGGGAAGATCTTCCACCGAGCGGGTAATATTGCTCGGCAGACCGACGGCCCAAATGTTGTTGTTCGGAACTTGTATATATGCAAGCTTATCTTTAAAATGTCAAATAGCCTCTGTTCTCTGATAGCTATCGCCATATTTAGCATTCACTTTATGAGTGAAGGTGTGCTTCGGTAACTAATTCAAACGAGGTGAGCCAGGTGAAACAGTGGGCTCGTTAACTCTTCAATGAAAATACTATAAAAAAAACAATGTTGATGTTACAATATTTTTTCTTAGTAGTCCGCGTAATGTAGATATAGAGTATTATAGAGCCAGAGAAATTCTACAAGTTGCCAGGAAAATACCCTAATCAATTACAAATAAATTAACTGAAATTCGGACAGAACAAGGTCTGTCGGTTCAGTTAAGTTACTAATAAAGTGTAATTGGGAGTGGTACACATTAGATATAAATAAAAACTGCAAAAGAGTATAAATGCGTAATTAGTACATAAGTGTTAGATATAAAAATAGTATCTTTTGTGTAAAGTTAGTTACTAACATTCAGGAGGTTTCTAAATGGTTTTGGAACAAAGTTCCTTATGGGACGATGCGGAGGGGGGTACCCGGGAAAAAACGTCTGTAACGTAAGATTTTTCTTAGTAATGCACAGTGTACGACTTAACTTTGTAATAACGTACATATTAGTAATGCACACAGTGTTCGACTTAACTTTGTAATAACGTACAAAAAATAACATATTTTTTATCATTCATTGACCACGATCTCAGAGCGTTCTGGTAACCACGTAACATGACGTGGACTGTGAGCTTGTCCCTAAGCACAAAAATACGTACAATAAAATGCATAAAAAGTGTGTAAGGTCACAACAGACGACTATATAAATAATTTACACAGCTTACATTTAAACTGGTGTTCATTTGTCAATCTGTCATAACGTATACTCGCACTTATCAAATAGAATCCTATGTACACATTTATTAATGCCACGTGGCTGTCATTCAATGTTTTGTGTATTACTATTTGCTATCGTTTTCAAAAAGCTTTTATTATTTTATTTTGTATCACATGTAATATTGCTGTTCGAATATTTTCGTTTATTGTACATTGGAAATTCAATAATATATATTTCGAACCGTTTAGTAGTATAATATAAATAAATTAGATTTAATGAAAACAGCTCATTTCTTATACAAATTCTTGTTTCGTTGAAGAAAAATAAATAATAGTTTAAAAAAAACTATAGATTTAAAAAAAAATGGATTTTCTATAAAAGCGTATTTTTTTTAAACTATTATTTTTTTCATTTTTTAGTTGAATTTTATTTTTTTCAATATTTTTTTTAAATATTGTCATCGGTATGCCAAATTTCGAGTTAATCCGACGTTTTGAAGGGGGTCAAAATCAGATTCAAAGATTCCGTTACATACTAACATACATACGTCTGAAGCTAATAAAAACGTATTAAAAAAGTAGAAAATATAGAGGACAAGATAAGGAGAACATAATTCCCTTGAAATCTCTTATTGGTATCTCGCTTTGGAACATTAAACATGACCATTTGACACTGTTAATTTGATTTATGCGAGGTAACTCAGCACCCCCCACGATCTCAACTCATGCTCGATAAGGTGGCCAGGGTCATCAGTTCAATTGGAATAATATGCCTCTAGTTTATTAATATTTTACAGTGACAATGCTAAATAGAAATGTTAGTAATCAACGTTGACATGAACGTTTATATCTAGGTTAAATGCTATTTTATAATAGTTCAAGCATATATGTATCTAATAAATTAAGTTTTTTAATCCTTGCAAATTGATTAGTTTAAACATGAAACCGAATTAATATAAATTAACATAGAAACGTCTTATTATAGACTAAATTTGAGCCACCAAAGTCATACTGTTTATTTCCAACGGATTATCACTCCGTTGCTTTATCTATAATTAATATTTCCATTATGATATAACTATAAAAACATGAAACTTAAATAACAAAATTCATTTAAAAATTCATCTTGGTTACTATGCTGTGAGTGTGGGTGTGTCTTGTCATTTGTTGGACAAGTGAATAGCGGTTGTTTGTGATAAGAATGACGTCACGCAGCCCCTTAAAACATATTTGTGTTAACGAATTACTGGCCTCGGTTGATGTTTTCAATTGCATATCGCCCGTTGGCTGTTTTCCACTATTTATCTTAACTCCAATGAAAATATGTTTTGATATTAAGTTTTAAACATCTTGTTTGTCGCGATAGCTATGATATTGAACAACATTACGAATAATATTTTGAATCGAGATTTATGCAATAAAGATAAATTAAATTAATAGATCACGATCGAATTTTAATTATTTTGTATTAAGAAACTAGAACTGTAAGAACTGTAAAGTGTACTAAGAAAAGTTTAATACTCATAAGAGCGTAAAGGGTTAAAAACGTTTTTACGTGGATAATCTTATTCGATATTGGAAATTAGGTACACATACTTGATACCACTTAATGAAATGTAAAATACATTTTGTACAAAGATCAAGGGGGAGAATCAGAGCTAATTCTGTGCGTGAATAACTTTTATGTTTTATAGGGGTGGACCCGAAACCAAGCTGAAACATTGCTTAAGCAATTAAACACGAATCTCACATAATTTCAAAATCATGATTGTGAGCTGCAAAGGGCATTTAAAGTTAGCCAGGGAAAAACATTAGTTTACAATAAGTATCGATAGGTGGCGTTGTATAGTTTTCCTAAAGTGTACCAAAACAAAAATAAAATAATATTCTACAAAGAAGATCCTTCTTCGTCTGCATAGCGACTACATGCAGTACATATCTAGAAATACCATATATTAATTTTATAAAATAGTGGACAATAAACACCAATGGGCAGTAGCGTCTCCCTATAATCTAAATATTTGTAGTGCCAATAAAAATGTCCGAAATTATTTTGTAATAGGTTTTCTTGTTTCTTAAACAGGTTAATTCTATGGTACTTGTATCTCGTACATTGTATCATGCAATTTTGATCTGATGTACAGATCAGTCATTGTATCTACGTAAGTTAATGTTACTCACTTTCAGGCTTCATTAATGTTGATACTTCGGCTTGTTTCTATTTCAAAACATTACGCTTAATGCTCGAAATCTTAGCTTAAATAGGTAAATTAGATTTTAAGTAATGGTCGTAGGGTATGCTGCGGACGGGTCGATGTTGCCACCCTGCTTATTTCTATGACTAATGATTTTTTCCGACTGGTTGGCAGTAATCTATGTTGGATTTTAAATAATAAAAATAAAATAAATAATTTTAACCCTAATAGCAATAGAAGAACGGTGCTGTGTATGTACACATTCCATGCAAGTTTATAAATTTTTTCTAGCGATATTTTACTTCGATACTGGAAGTTGTTAGTGAAGGTTTTTTTGGAATATAAATAATCTTAAAGTTTTTCCGCAATCTTTTGTCGCTTTAGCTCTGTATGTGTATTGTTTTGTTTCAAATGCCACCTGCCTTCACTATCTTATCTATGAATACATTTTAATTCCACCACAGATTGTTCTCTCGAGTCACCATCATCGAATCACTGTTACCGTATATTTAATTTTTTTTACACAAATTCATCGGCAAAACGTGTTATACTGAAACCAAAGTGTAAGGAAATACGACTCTGGTGATAATTGCTATTATATATTATAATTCCATTCGATCTCTATATATAAACGTTTATAAAGAAAACCATTCATTCATATTCTAACACGAATCTTCGATAGATAAGAGTTACCTCTTATACATAATTGGCTTAATAATTGATTCTGTTTTGTAATAAACTAAATTTTAATAAATCTAAACCGATTTGTTTGATTATAAAATAATATCTTCAATAAAAGTCGGCTTTTATTGTAACATGTTAATAATCAGTAATTGTTGAAGTCGCCCTATCGCTTAAGAGTTAAGACACGACATCTGGGCGTTACTTTGACGTAATATCGTGCGAGCGATATCGCTCATATATATATTGACGTCTTTGCTCATCTCGATGTATTTTGTCCATTACTTATCTAAGCTCCTTACCTTGAAGCTTCTCTGATATAACGTCGCGTCTCGCTAATATTAATTTAATTGATTGAAAATCGTGTTCAAATTGTTGATATCAAGAAGCAGTGAAAAATGTGTTGCTATAAAAACAACGGAATGTGTGAAATGTGTAGAGAATTCCAGCTATCCCTGCTTCAGAGTAAGATTATCGAAATTGTTTTAAAAAAAAACGACCACAAAGGATTTCTCACTGATAAGAAATCCTTTGTGGTCATTTTGACGGTGGCTTTCTATAGGAGTTCAAGCAACAAAAAAAAATTGTTTTAGTCATAAGTGAATGTATTTTACGACTCGATTTCTAGTCGAGTATAAGTTTAGTATTTCCACTGTCGGGACTATTTGAGGAGAATAAAGTATTTTTTAACCATTAAATTTGTTAACAGATCTGCTTAAAAACTTTCCGAGCGCTGCAACGAAGATCGAAATCAATAACACCACGAGTTTCTACCCGCCATCACCGCCGGAACTGAAACCAAGTCCCGCCGAACTCGCTAACGATCTTCTGCAGCAGCTAGACAGTCAATGCAAACAAGGTAAATCCACGCTTCTGTCACATTAACTGTGCAATGTTATGTTGAATTATTCAAAATGTATATATATACTAAATAGAGTGAGGTCATTGCTTAGGATTATTTCCTTGAGAGTTCTTTTTTTATTTAATTTTTTTATTGCTTAATTGGGTGGGCGAGCTCACAGCCCACCTGGTGTTAAGTGGTTACTGGAGCCAATAGACATCTATAACGTAAATACGCCACTCACCTTGAGATATAAGTTCTAAGGTCTCAGTGGTAGGTGGTACTTATCCGTGCGGACTCGCAAGAGGTCCTACCACCAGTAGCATAAATTTAATACCAACATGTCGAACTTTTCACCAATAAAAAAAAATCTAGACTATAATTTAATAGTCACATGAAAACGTGATATAAAATTATTAAACGTGCAGAACAAGTCAGTCTGTCAGACGGGTACAATTATGAAGTATTACAGGAAAACTTTTTTCAGTTATTCACGACACTTTTATTGTCAACGATGTGAAATGAAATTGCCAGTGCTGCTGATGGCCAAAGGTCGCCGTCGCCCATGGACGAAACCATGGACGAAACCATGTCGTTGTCTACCTTAAAGATTCAATAGTCTGAAGTTTACTTAAGCAAATCTTTTCTCTTTATTATTTTGGATTAGAAATAATCTTATTATAACGTATAGATAGACCTTAAAATAGTTACAATTAATGTGATTTACGATTTTTAATCTGATTTAAAAGACACTTACGTTTTAAAAAATTTGCTGTAATTTATTTATTATTGTTTTACTGAGCCACGCAATGTTTGCTGAGTACATAAGCGGCAATGAATACTAAAATGGCTGATAAGACTTCGAAGGCAAATAAAATACAGATGAAGAATAGTTTTAACCGTGTGACAACCGCCTGTCAACCGTCAGTACTTGTGTAACGACTTAAGACTGCATTCATATGACATTTTAAATAATAATTTAGACACGGTTAGTCTTCAACATGCTTCCGTATGAGATATCACTGAGTTCTGAGTGCGGGTAATATGAAAATGCTATAAATGTGTTCTATTCATAATATAGAATTAATTTAACGGTCAAATTTATTATATATTATTATACCTTTATGCACAGAGTTTTAGGAGTGCATTTGAGCATTGGGTGGACACGGCTTGAAGAAGAAATTAAATTTTAAATTATCATATAAAACAATAGTAAAATTTGAACTAGACCTATTTTCTTATTTATTATAATTAAACATTAAATATGGTATTTGCGATCAATTGCCAGTACATTAAAAGTATTGCTCCAGTTTCTGTTTTCAATTGGAAAACAGATCTACGCGCTCTTCTGAAAAAACTTTGACACAATTAAGTGTCATCTGTATTTTAATGACCCATTGGCAGAGTTTCTGCCTAGCGTATTGAATGAATCTTAACAAACATACATTACACGCTACAATTCCGATGAATAAAATTGCTTATTAGTAGATCAAGTGAAAGAATTGAAATCAAAGACTCATATAATAGAATGTACGTGAATTTTGTTTCATAGAATCATTTTATACATTGTATAAATTTTTTATGCAAAATCTGAATTCACGTATACCTACAGCGGAACAACTTATTGAATCCCAAAATCCGATGTGATTCGAAATATAATATGTATATATGTATTACACGATTTGTAATCTCTGAGTAATGTGTGTTTTAAGTTTTAATTGAATCATTTTAGCATCACGTTTTGAATTTGCAAAGTCACGACTTCGGTTATTACCAGTTTTATGGAATCACATGTAAAAAAACTTATCTACAAATTTAGAGATACGTAATTAAAAAAAAAAAAACTTTACTTACAATATAAAATAAACGTTTTATTTAACATAAATATTTTCCCTTGACCGAACACAGCTTCCAAATTAATAACAGCTATTGAAATTCCATTGACCTAGTATTTTTTCTGATACATACTTTATTTCAATTGCAACAATTACTATTCATTGGCAGCGTTTGCAGCGTGAATGTAAGACCTTCATTGACTTTTAATAAATAAGTTGTTATTGTTAATTTTTAACTATAACAAAATTTTCTTACTTTATATTGTCCTAAAGGATTTGCTCCAACGATGGATGTCTGAATAACTTGAAAATTTAGATAAAAGCAGTGATAGTTATGATATTAGTATGGTCATGCTATTCTCACTACTCACTAGTACCATCAGAGCTCATAATCTAGATTGGTTACAAAGTTTTGTATTATGCTTTGAAAAATATTATGGCTTTTTAATAAACGTGGAGGTTGTACATAAAGCCGTATTATATTTTTTATCGTGTTTGATGTTGATGGTCAATGAAAAAGACATAACGCCGTGCATGTTACATTGTCATCGTTGCAAATGTAAAATCTCCTATGTGACATTTTCGGCCAAAATTATGTTTTCATATATTATGAAAGTTATTTTAAATACCTATACTCAGAAAAAACTCCCATGTACATATATCCATATTTCACTTTATTACGCGTCAATCTTAAAAAATCCCAAGTGACGGTTTCTCGAAAACTACATTTTTATACACATAGGAGATTTCAAATTTGCAACGACAATATGTGTCAACTAATTGGTCTCAGTGACTTAACTACTGTTCCATAGGTTTCGGGTTATTACCGGTCGGAGTTAGTATCGTTATTAAACCTATTTCTTGTCCGAGGGTGTTCAGCCTTGTGCTTGTCTCGTATGTCTGATTCCGACGCTCATAATATTGAAGAAAATACTATCTCTGGGCCGCTTAACTTTTTTAAATTTGTAACTCTTAATTAACATCGACTTCAGTAATTATTTGTACGCGTCTTCAATCTAATTAATTATGTGACACGTTTTTTTTTAATTCATAAATAATTTATTTTGGGAAATAAATGGAAATCTTTTGAGATATGCTATCGAGTTCTGATTTGTCTGTTACATATAAATCAGCAACACACCTCTACTGGCTGGGTGACATTATAACATAGCGTGATCGTATTTTATCTTAATTAGTAATGAGTATTGTGTAACATAAATTTTGCACATTATCATATTATCCATAGTTTGTTAGTTTGATTTATTTGCTAATGAACCGCTAGATTTAATTAGTCTATTGGATGAATATCCATAATAAATATTTCATACATGCATATGTACATACATGCACTCCATTTGGAGCATAGCTTGGCTTGGCATATACCCCTTATACTACCAGTATTGAAATTGAAATTAGTTGAAAATAAAACACATTGATAGGTTGTGGGAGTAGGATGTTTTGTAAGTCCGCACGAGTAGGTACCACGACGCTGCCTATTGCTGCCATTATGCAGTAATGCGTTTCTGTCTATGGCCTCCGGTGACAATTTAAAATCAGGTGGTTCGTGAGCTCGTCCACTCATCTCAACAATAAATGAAAAAACATAACCTTCACCAATTTCAATACGCTGAATTAACTTGAATATCTGTACACATAACAAGAACCGTAAAAATCAGCCTAAGTATACACATATGGGAACTGTAATTGATATTCTTCTTTATCGACATGAATTTTGTGAATTAAAACAATAATTTATAGTTGGAAAAACAAAAAAAAAACATTATTTAATAACAGGCCGAACTAAAAAGTAGAAAATAAATTATTATTTTTAGAAACATAAAAAAACACGCTTTTGTAGTAAGCGACGATTAGAATAATTTACATGACTCCAAATAAAAATTTTGAACATAGTTTTTTTTTTACAGTGAATCACATAAATCTTTTCCAAAGAAAACTTTGTAGTAAATAAATAGTCTTGTCACCAAAAGAAATAACTTTTCGTAAAAAAACCTAAATTGCTTAAATGTACTACTAATCGTTCGAGATCGGCCATTAGCTCGTCCTGATCGTCCTTCTCGTGTTAAGAAATTACCGGAGCCCATAGACATCGAAATTTGAATACTGCTGCTTACCGTGAGACACAACACGTGAGGCACGTCGAAGTCTTAATTGTAACGTATTTTCTACCTAAGCTGAGGGTCTTGAGAGACCATTTCAGAGTAGCCTTAACTATAGTAAAATTATTTTGTCCGTGCAGTTTGGGTCATAAATAATCGGTGCGGTGATGCGAGTACTTCGCTCTCTCTTCCACTCACGAGCCTTGTGGACGGGCATAGTGATGCGCATTATTGTTGTCAATAAGCGTTATCGATACTGTATTTAGTTTTGTCATTTTGTGGGTTAGTGATAAAAATGAAAGAAAAAATCACTAATCGAACACTTACACCACATATCGCCGCAGCAAGTTACGAGAACGGCAGAAATTAACACTTTGTAACCTTTCGGGATCTATTTTTATTTCAGTGAATTTTTTTAACACATTGTGGACGTGCTTGTGCTGGTGTATTTTTGCCAACAAGCAAAATAGTTGAATAAATTCTGCCGTTTTGGTACAAAACAAAAGACTAGCCATTATGTCACTAAAGAAATTCAGAGAGCGAATGCACTCCCGCTCGAGGAACATTTGTTTTTATCGATAATGGCGTTGCGCCCGTGCAACTTGCTCACCGCCCTAGCCGGGCTGTGTTTTATGACCCAAACTGCACGGACAAAATAATTCTACTATAGTAGGTGAGTTCACGGCTCACAAACCAGATGTCGTTGCTAACACTGACCCTAGCAAGAGCAGTGCTTCGCAGAATCTACCACCGGATCGGAAACGCAACCCACTGAAAAGATCCGGCGAGAAACTCAGTGGGCTTATAACGATTGTCGCGCACTTTAAAGCGAAACGCATGATGCTTCATGGCATAAATAGGCAGAATGGTAGTGTCGGCGTACAATACGTCTAATCAAGTGTGATTACGTAAATTAAAAAAAAAACGGGTTTTTTATTACACGATGTTATTCTTTCATGGTAGAACTCGTTCGATTATGTTATGACATATGTTATGAACGTATTATGTTAAATATATTTTAAAAATTGAAAATTCGGGACCCGCATGCAGGATTTGAACGCTGTCA